AAGAAAATGTATGTAGTGTATCTACCACTACAAAATTACAATTTAAGAGTATATGAAACATGCTAACTTGATTCTTAGAAAGGGGTACCTTTTCGTAGATAAAGGTTGACATAGCAGATAACTTTCCCCACATGTATTTTATAATGCGATTGCACTAGGGCTGTTTTCCATGACTGACTCCAGCTCACTTCTGTCTCAGTGGCTGTTGTCACAAAGCCTGCATATGATGCAGTGTTGCCAGATTGGGCTACAAGTAGCGGATCGGGCTACTTTTAAAACTCCCCGCTACACAAAATCGAATTTGGGCTACCCGCTACGGTTCGAATCCCAGTCGATACGAATTCCGCATCCGGCTTGCACCGACCTCAGCGCTGACGTGAAATATCCTCAGTGGTAGACGGATCATGGGTTTGAGTCCCCTTGCCGTGAGGCTAACCGTGAGAGTTCTCGTGGTCTTCCTCTGCATGTAACGCAAATGCCGGTTAGTTCCATCAAAAAGTCCTCCACGATTGCAAACTTTCTTCCAATACTTGATCCAGGAGTTCTCTTGTCTTCTGGATTGGATTCAAAAATACAAGGCTACGGAGTTGAACATTAGTAGCCGTAAACCCAAAAAATTGGGTCGGCTGTTCAACGACGGTTATAAAATAGTAAATAAAACATCACTGGTTGCGGTCAGTGTGCGAGTGGGTGACCACGTGAATCAGTCTGAGTAGGGACCGAGATCGTGCGGTATGGTTCCTCGTTAAACTGTTCTACCGTAAAGTGCTTGACTTCGCGTGCAGGTCGTCGGGCTACTCAAGCAGTGGGTGCCATGACCTCTGCAGGGGATCAAAATTGTGATGGCATGTCTTTGGATCATCGGAAGGTTTCTCAGCCGTCGCCAATCGTAAATGAACTACAACTTCAGCATTGAAATTTAACTTATTTTTTTAATTTAGTAGAATATATATATATATATATAACGTAGTTTTCTTGGGCTACAAAATGCTCGAATCCGCTACTTTTGAAGCTCACATTCGCTACTTTTTAATCTTAAGTTCTGGCAACACTGATATGATGATTGTAATAGAACCAAAAGTAAAAAAGCTCAAGTTTATGCAGAAGAAAATTGAAGAACATGCAATGTCATTTTTGGCAGATCCATGAGTGTTTTATAAAGAAAATGCGTTTGAAAAGGCAAATGTTATTAAAGCTACTTTCCAAGACTAACTTGTATTTCTATGGCTGTTAACCAATAAGGCTGTTGTCACTGAGACTGCATATTGTGACTTTAAACGGCACAAAATTTAATAAAAACTAATTTTATATAAAAAAAAAAACCTGGTAATCTCATTTCTAGGAGATCCATGAGTTTCTTATAAAAAGAATGTATTTGAAAATTCAATTTTCCCAAAGACTATTTTCCAAAGCTCACTATGACAATGACAATAGAAACAAAAGCACCAATCGAAGTAAAAAGATTCGATTTTGTATAAAAAAAATATTGAAGAACCAGACAGTGTTATTTCTGGTAGATCTACAAGTTCTTTCAAAAGAGAATTTTTTATGAAATGTGATTTTCTTCCTACTTGTTTTACTCTTATTTTAAAATATTCAGTGTAAAATCTGTCTTTTATTCGTTGTAAATGACACATTCGCTGACCTGCAACACTGTAAATCAAGCATAAGGAGGTGAAATAAAATATGAGATAAAAAAGATAATCAAATATGATGATTGTATTGGTATTCGAAATCCTTTTCACTGACTGTGTACCAGCTAAAACTGAAGATACTGCTGCAAACATATACGATATGCAACTAAAACACATTTAGCAAGAGCATTCAGAAAAGGTTTCTTGAATTTCTCTGATGAAATTAAGTATATAAACGTAACTTTCACTAGATTTACAGCGATTTTCTATGTTTAAAAATACTTTTTCGAAGTCGATAAGAAAGTTAGTTAGAAATGAAGTAGCCCTTTGACAAATGTTTAAGAACAGCATTAGCATTACAGCATAACAGATTGTTGGCAAACAAAAATGAGTGAATATTTTAGCAACGAAACTGAGATTCAATATAATTTCATTATCAACTTTGAGATCGTACATGAAGAATGTCATATAGTCTTGTTTAAATTCATTGTTTATTATTAATATAAAAATTGTAAAAAATGTAACAAGAAATAAAATCATTATTATGCATACAATATTTAGCCGACAGTGTTTTTTCAACTTATCCACTTTGTCTGCGTTGCTTACAATTTTTTGGAAGTTTAATAAGTGCACAATATTATTTTTCTTCTTTCTTAAAGAGTGCCCTGCTAGAAGTTGAAATAAAAATCCAAGAATGTAACCAAAATTCACTCTTACATCTGATTTACCATTTACTGTTGCAATTGCTTCCATGATACTTGAATCTAAGAAAGCCAAATTATACAAAATAATAAATAAGAATGCAATGAATCTTATTATTTTTGATTTTGAATTAAGTATTCCACATAAAGATAAACAACTTGTCAGAAGACACGAGTTCTTCTTGAAGCTATCATTCTGCACAAAGACACGACCAGAAGATCCTATTCTCTGGAACTGTCTAAAATAGTTCACCATTTAAAAATATTTTTAAGTTTCCCCTCTTTTAAGATAGTGAAATGCACTTAAATATATTTTATGTTTGTATTCAATTAATAAATCTCCTTCAAAGTTTTGATGCGTGCTTTTCTCTAAAGAAGCTCAAAATATTACTTCACTTTGAAGAAGCTTCCTATATAAAATCAATTTAAAATTATAATTCATTAATGGACTAAATGCCTAAGATATCTAATTCTCGATATATTTCTATTTCTATACATAACGAGATTCTAAATTTGTATCCACCATTTAAAAGAACTTAAAGTTATATGTTAATTTAGAGCCATAATTCACTCGTTACTCTCTAAAAATCCTTTAATGCAGTCTGTTCTCCAAATATGCTCAATATATTACCATTCTCTGAAGGAGTTTAATATTTTTCATTAATTTAAAATTATAATTCATTCACTCGTTACTCTCTAAAAAACCTTAAATGCACTCTGTTATACAAATATGCTCAATATATTTCCATTGTCTGAAGGAGTTTAATATTTTTCATTAATTTAAAATTATAATTCATTCACTCGTTACTCTCTAAAATTCCTGTAATGCAGTCTGTTATACAAATATGCTCAATATATTTCCATTCTCTGAAGGAGTTCAATATTTTTCATTAATTTAAAATTATAATTCATTCACTCGTTACTCTCTAAAAACCCTGTAATGCACTCTGTTATACAAATATGCTCAATATATTTCCATTCTCTGAAGGAGTTCAATATTTTCATTAATTTAAAATTATAATTCATTCACTCGTTACTCTCTAAAAAACCTTAAATGCACTCTGTTATCCAAATATGCTCAATATATTTCCATTCTTTGAAGGAGTTTAATATTTTTCATTAATTTAAAATTATAATTCATTCACTCGTTACTCTCTAAAAATCCTTTAATGCAGTCTGTTATCCAAATATGCTCAATATATTTCCATTCTCTGAAGGAGTTTAATATTTTACTTTAGTTTAAAATTATAATTCATTCACTCGTTACTCTCTAAAAGACCTTTAATGCACTCTGTTATCCAAATATGCTCATTATATTTCCATTCTCTGAAGGAGTTTAATATTTTTCATTAATTTAAAATTATAATTCATTCACTCGTTACTCTCTAAAAACCCTTTAATGCACTCTGTTATCCAAATATGCTCAATATATTTTCATTCTTAGCTTAACATTTTAATTATTATTAATTAAAATGTTAAGCTCCTAACATTTAATTTATAATAATATTCAATCTTTTCTAAAGTTACTATGCATTCGCTTATTTTCTAAATAGAATATTGAAGTGGCAAACCTACTGTGCTCTTCCCGATAAATATAATAATTTTTCGTTATGTGTTTTGTATAGCCTAAATTTCAATCTATAGCTTTTAGTTGATCGATATAATTTACATTTCTCTTTATAATTGAATACATTTTTCTGACAATTGCAAAAATACTTTTGAAAAGAAATTATAATAATGGTAAATTTTTCTTAAGTAGAAATTTCTCTTTTTAATTTAATCATTTTTATTGAAAAATATTACGTCTAAGTAAATGAAAGAGATTATTTTTACTATGAGAGTGTCTGCAATGATTTTAAGAACACATGAAGTGAATCACTTTTAATATAAATCAATATCGCTTTATGGTTCCTGTTTCGAGATTTTGATGAAATCTAGTATTTTCAAAGGGAAGCTATTGACAACATTCTTTATTCCCAATGTTTCTAAGTGCTAAGAACTATTTTAACATTAGGTTGAAAATCCTTGAATGATATTCTTGCTGTAGTGACTATTAATTACATTATAAATATTAAGGAATTAAATTCCTTTTTCTCATTATGGCCAAAATTATTCCTTTCTTTACCTCAGTTAGGTTTTTAAATATCAAAAACTATCATAAAATTTCATGCAAACTTCTAAAATAATGTTTTTACTGTAGAGACCAACTCATATGTGTTAAGCATCCAAGCCCATTTACTAAAAATCCCATTCGTAATGAAAGTTTTTAGATCACGATGGAAAATTAAATAATTAAACGTCCAAAAGAGAAACTAATCTCTTTCAATTGAATAGCATGCAAATAAAATAAATAATAATTTATATTACTGAGCCATTTCCTTAAGAGCTGTCTCTTTTTTTTATATATATATATATTTTAAACTAGCCTCTAAGTCAATCACCTAGTTCGCCTACACGAGCACACTGCTGTGCCACATTGTCTTCTTCTTACACAAACACACCGCTGTTCCACATTGTCTTCCGCCTTCACGAACAAGCAGCTGTTCTACTTTGTCTTCTTCCTACACGAACACACCGTTATTCCACATTGTCTTCCTCCTACACTGACACACCGTTATTCCACATTGTCTTCCTCCTACACGAAAACACCGTTATTCCACATTGTCTTCCTCCTACACGAATTTTTGACTCTAAACTAACTTTTAAACCTCATATAAATTACATTAGGAGAAAATGCTCTCAATCATTAAACATTCTTAAAGTCCTCGCTAACTGTTCATGGGGAGCTGATATGGATTCAATGTTAAAAATATATAGGGCAGTTATACGTTCCAAACTAGATTATGGTATTCCTATATACTCTTCGGCTCGTCAATCCGTTTTAAAATACCTCGACACTATCCATCATCAAGGATTGAGAATATCATCAGGTGCATTTAGGACTTCACCAGTTGAAAGTCTGTATGTGTTATGCTCGGAACCCTCTCTTCATTTCCGTCGCTCTAAACTATCATTGGATTATTATTTTAAAATTAAATCGAAGTCACTTCATCCACTATACTCATGTGTCGTTCATCCACAATACACCACTCACTTCTCCTCGCGTCCATCTTATATACCTTCGTTTGGGATTAGAATCACCAATATTTTAAATGATTTTAACATTTTAGATATTGAGGTTTTTACTAACACAGGCATCATCCCACCTTGGATTGATGTTTCAAAATGTGTGTTAGACGTTTTTAATAATTTTAAAAAATCTGACACTAGCTCGAGTGTTTTCACTCAAAAATTTTATGAACATCGCCATAAATATATCGATTTTAAACCAATTTTTACTGACGGATCAAAACACGATAATCATGTTGGTTGTGGTGTTGTTACCGAAAATTCTACTGTATCTGAGCAACTGCTTCCTGATTCTTCAGTCTTTACTGCAGAATGTTATGCTATTTTACTAGCCCTTAACTATATTTTCGACCAAACTTATCTAAAGTGGATAATATATACTGACTCACGTAGTTTTATAGCAAGTATTTCAGACATCGGTCTAAACCCAGTCATACTCAAAATCCAAAAGTACATCACTCGACTATATGACAGAGGTTTCAATATTTATTTTTGTTGGATACCATCCCATGTCGGTATACACGGGAATGAATGTGCTGATGTAGTTGCAAAAAGTACTCATAACATAAGCAGGAATGTTTTAGCACCATTGGACATCAAGCGAATTTGTAAATTATCAGTTTATCAAGCCTGGAAAGAACACTGGAATACACAAAATGATAATAAATTACATGAAATTTTCCCTTCTATTGATAACAATAAAATAATATCCATTGACCGTAAAACTCATGTTTTAATAAACAGGCTACGCAATGGCCACTCACGATATACCCATATGCATTTATTGAAAAACGAACCTGCACCTGTTTGTTCATTCTGTCAAGTTGTTATCACCATTAAGCATATTTTTACTGACTGCAGACGATTCAAATACTTGAGAAACAAGTTTTTTGGCAGTTTTAACCCTGATCTTCAATCTTTACTTGGTGACCCTATACATCACAATCTTTTAAAATTTATCAAAGTCATAGGACTTTATTCTCTGCTTTAAAAAATAACACCTTAGTTTAACCTTGTGACCAAATTTTAACCTAGTGCCTGGCGCAGTATAGCCATCTCTGGCTCTTGCGCCAATAAAATCCAACCAACCAACCAACCTACACGAACACACCGTTATTCCACATTGTCTTCCTCCTACACGAACACACCGTTATTCCACATTGTCTTCCGCCTTCACGAAATCACCGCTTTGTGGCTACACATTGATTCTGCTGCATTCGGCAACATTACTCTCACTCTATGGCATTGACATTTCAGAGAAAAAAATGTAAGAAATAGGGTAAGAATCTTGCCTGGACTCGCTGATTTGCGGCTTCCTCTTTGTATTTGCCTACACGAACTCACTACTTTACTGCTCCACATTTATCCTGCCTTCGGGATCATTTACACTTGCATTTTATTCGATGTATTTATATGACGAGAAAGAAATAATAGTTTTATTTTAAAAGTATTTCTACGGATAAGTTCTTTGCTTTCATATTAATATCAAATGAACTCGGTTGTCATTAAGGGTGTATAGTGAGACTCTCTGAAACACATTTTCCTCCAGCAAGATCAAAATATTTCTCTATTCTATCTGAATAAATGGTGTTATCTGATCTGATGTGGAAAAGAAAAAAAAATATATGCTAATCTGATGCGGAGAAAAAAAAGAAATACATATCACGTGGATACCTCAGGATCATGGGCCTCGCATTTGCCTAAATTTGGCAAACTTCCAGAGAAAAAAGAATGAAGAAAGAGCACTCAAAATTCTCAATTTAAATAACTTATTTTCTCACCAATGAACCAGCTGCAAAAAAAATTTATTCAATTTTGACTCAATTGATAAAAAAGATTCACTCTCTTTTAATGGCGGACAAAATTAAAATTTTTTGAAATAAAAACATTTGATGTAAATGGGCGACAAATTTTTTAAATGCTATAAAAATTGACTTACTGTTTATTTTCTTAAAAATTGAACTCGATGGATACTGTTGGAAATTTATAAATAATACGTTTTTAATTGTAAACTATCTTGTTAAGTTAATAAACTTCGAAACACTCTTTTATTATTTTTTTTTAAACCTTGAACTTTTATCCCTGTGATAATTTATCTACATCGTCAAGTACAATACTGTGACAGGTCTGAGGTATAATAAGCATACACTTTCCTGGTTTTGTTACTCTTTAGAGGAAAATCATTTTTCTTACTAACTTCTAACTTAAAGTGGAAGGCATGTCGTTTGTGACAAATTTCTAATTCAGTTCTGTTTTCAAATGTTTCTTTTGTTTTTTTTTTCTTTTCAAATCAAACTGACTGAAAAAGATTACTTAGCTACTATAAACCAGTAAATGTTTTCTAGCACAATCCTTGAAAACCTGAAAAGGTCACTAACACAGCAGATAGTGCATGTTTTATACAGTTAAGAACTGAATATACAAAAGGTGGGGAACCTTTTTACCGCGAGAGGCCATATTTAAATTAGGCAGTGATAAAGAAGGCCCTATAAGTTCATATACCTATAAATGTGACTTTTGAGAAATTATTATAGCTTTTGTACAGTTTTATCATTTTATTGCATTATAATGCAAAAAAAAAATTAAGTCATTTATTAATGTTTTTTTATGGCTTGTTTTTAAAAAACTACTTTTGTATTCACATAAGGTTAATAACTTATTATGACATTCATATTAAATATTTTTAATAAGCAATTATATTTAAATACTGTTTCAAATGAAAATAGAGTATAAATATTTTTCCATCAGTACTTCTTGTCGAGATTCATTTTTTTTTTCAAAGTCGTCAAAACTAATAACAAATATATCGCATATTAAACACACTGTTTTATCTTCTACAGATGTAAAGAAATTTTCCCACTCTGCTTTAAATGTTCTGCTTTCTTCTTTAAACTTCTTATTTCACAATTTGACATGATGGAGAAAAAATGAATACCGAATAGTATCTTAAAGCATATACTTACTAAAAAGACAATAAAATCGTGTATTAATAAAATATCAGAATTAGTAAAACAATAACTAGATTTTCATAATGAACAATAAGCAGTACGAGACGGACATGAAAGCACACACAGATAAATACAAATCACCAACTGCGCAATATACTGCGGAATACAGGGGAGAAAAATGGGTACCGTCTTTCTCACCATCACAGTGCTTGGTGAATGGCGGTTGCTATATGGCAACAGTATAATCGTGCTTCAAATAGGAGAGAGCTATGGCCAAATATAACAACAAAACAGAAGAATTTCTATTATTTGACGTTGGCAAATTGAAAAATGTACCAGAATGGCAATAAACTGCAATATTACAGTATATTAATCCCTGCAATGCTCAATAGATGGCAGCACTTTAATTAATTTCATTAATTTTCTAATTGCCATAATCTATATAGTTACATATTAATTAATAAAAGAGCTAGAGGCAGCATGTTACCCACCTCTGAAATATATTGAATGCAGAAATTCTTCATTAGAGAGCGCTATTAACACACGATATGAACAAAGAGGAACCAGCCTTTTTTAGTTGTCACCACCATTAAATTAATAAAACTTAGAACAGTATTTACCTACGTAGATAAATTCTGTTCAATTGGGTATACTATAACCTACGTCACAGGTTGTGTTATTCCTACTAAATTTAACCCATGAACGGCATTTTCTGCGAGCCTAACTTCAAGCCACAAATAAACAAACGAAGTGTTTGATCGTTTAAATAGCTGCTCGCCAGATTTTATTGCATTATAAAGAAAAGTAATTGATATTCGATTTTTGATTAATAATTGATTTATGTGGATAGTGGCATAGAATTTAGCATTGCGTCATGGTAAATGTTATTCCTACTAAGTGGAAGTAGTTGTGTTTTTTTTATATTATACCCAATTACTAATCACCTATGTCTATTTCATTTAACGTCACGTATCCGTAAATATTAAGTTAAACAAAATTTGAACAATGTGAACCAATAAAATAATGAATACAAAATAAGTTCTTAAACTTCTAAACTAATATTAAGAAGCTGAATATCCATTTTTTGTACGAAGTAAATAGAAATAAATTATCATTAAATCTATATTAAGCAACTCTACGAAATTATGCACAAAAGTGAAAAGCATATACCGACATTAATAGATGAAACTGAAATAATTCCATTTTTTTTATTATTTGTTGTCCTTCTTGGTACTTTTACGTTATTGAATTAAGCAAAACTCAGTTTTTGAAGTTCACCGTATCAAAACCGTTTCATTTGGAATATTGCAATTAACAAATGCTAAATAGAATAAATTCGATTTTTTTTTCTTTTTGAAAAAATTGGTAATTAAAAAATTTCGAATCAAAATAAATTCAAGAATTTTTCTAAGAAATATGCAATCTAATAATTAAAACAAAATTAAAATTGTAAAAGTTACATTTGCTGAATTATTTCTCGAAAATTGAAAAGAGCTACCTTTCTCAAAAAAAACTTTTCGCTTAGAAAAAGAAATCGTTAAATATGTATAACTTTCCTACCTACTTAGTTCTGCCTTTATTTGCTTTTTTTGTTTTATATTACGATAATTTATTTTAAAAAGTATGTATATTTATAAGAAAAAAGAGCTTATTCTCTCAAAACAATAAAATAATATTAATTTATTTTCTGTCTTCGTATTGTTTATCGTAGAACTTCTATGCCTTTTGCCCAGTTACTTCCTGCGCCCTCTAGCGTCACATAAAGGAAACGGTTAATTGATTCAGTAAACTTGTTGATTCAGTTGTTTCCGTACAGTTTATAATTTAGTGTTTCAGACATGTTTTTGTTTATTTCTATTCTATTACATTTGAAGTATGAATGAGTAATAATTTTTCATGATTTGTAACTCAAAAGTTGATGAGTTTTTATGCTTTATTTCAATAAAATGTATTGAATTAAGATTGGATTGCATAGATGTATGTTAGGGTTTTGAAGTTCTTTCATAGATATTGTGTGGTTTAATTTAAAGCACAAGTGATGGCTAATATTAAACCAATAAGAAAAATTCATTTTTCAAACGTGTCATTCAAATTGTTTAAGGATTTTTGGAATCGGGAGCTAAAATTTCTCTTTTCACCTACTGTCCAAAGTTCAGAAACACACAAACACGCACACAAATTCTTCCTTTTATTCATTAAATAATCTCTTTTACGAAAAACGAGTATGTATAGTAACCAAAAATTGAATAAGAATTTTAAAAAAAAAACACTTTGGTGAAGAAGTTGCCATAGTAACTGAGATAAATTATTAGCTTCATTATTCGGATAGAATTGGATACCTCCAAGGGACGTCATCGTGGTATTCGTTTATGCCTCGATTCAGAAGCCAATCAGGTTCGACACATGCGTTTGACTTCCAATTAAGGTATCCAAATACAGTAAATACAGCCAATTAATACCAATTAAATCTTATCCGAAAAGTGGTTCAGCGTGATACTTAACTAATTGCTATAACGCTAACCAGCCAAATACAACCTCGTTATTATTATTTACGTATTTTTTTCTCGAATTGTTAGTTTCCAAATTTGAACTCAATTTGAAGAATCAAATCTGTGTTAATAGATATAATAAAAACTTTCTGGCCGACCGGCCTGCGTAGGGGGCAGGGAACTGTCCTTGCATCAGAAAGGTCCTGGGTTCGAATCCCGGGCAAGGCATGGATGTTTCTTTTACCTCTGTGTGTTCTATGTCCTTTCTCCTTTGTGTGTGAATGTGACCCGCCCTATAAACGAATTGTGGTTGTGTGAATGGCGTGTCAGAAGTCGAATTCCTGGTCATGGATGGCACCACCAAAAAACAGGAACAATCGCTCCCCCGCTGCCTAAACAGGCATACGCCAAAAGAAAATTCTGGATCTTTTAATTGGTGTAACAATCTGCTTATCATCAAGAAAATAAAATGATTCCGAAGTAATCGTGGTGATTGACAGGGGGCGGAGTCTCCCAGTATCTATATTATATAAAACGCTAATACGTACGTATGCATCAATAAAACCGATGATATTTCTTTTCTCTCGCTGGCAACAGTTTTCATTTTTAATTGATTGGATTCGGCACGCAAGAGCACGTAGTGAGCATCATATGGCTAATCCATGTTATATAAAACGCTAATACGTTTTAATTGGTAGGCTTCGCCGCGCAAGAGCACGTAGTGAGCATCATATGTCTATCTATCTCCGATTGTCACCGAGAAAAAAACGGTTGGTTGGTTATGAGTACTGAAATAGTTCCTTTTCATTGGCAGAAATGAGAAGTGTTATGCTATTGCTATTTTATTTTGAGTTGAACGCTTTACTACTCCACGTTTTGTTACATTATTAGATGCTATTTTATTATTTCCTGATGGGCTTCATCAACAATCAAAAATATATACATTTACTTTACAAATTCCATATTATTAGGGTAGCGCCCTTCTGAGAATTAAAAATACAAAATTATCTTCATCGAAACCAATGCTTTACATCCGGCTTTCAGTGGCAGACTACTATTTCATATTGTTTTACAACACATGGCTTTAGCCCTCTGGTGGGAAAGACTTTAAAACAAAACTTACAACAGTTACTTTTCTCAACAACTGAAATTTAGAATAGTGTGATTAAGAAAAATATGTGAACTGTTTGCAATTTCAAATTAATATTGAAATGTACAGGTTCAGAATTTTCTACAGTGAAAAGTTTTCGGAACTTCAGTATTCAAAAAAGTATACAAAAGCTAGACGTTAAGAAAGTATCCAATGAGCGAGTAAAGCGAGCATCGGATTGCGAAGCAATCCGAAATGAACTGCGAAAGCAGTTCCGGGGGTTGGCGAGCACCAGCGAGCAGGGGGCGAAGCCTCCTAGTAGTTATGAAAAAGCAGATGACGAATACGTAGCGTGAACGGGGTGAAGCCTCTTAAACCGTTTCTGTTCGAATGTTTATGTTTGCCTTATAATTTAAGTGATCTTCGAGTCATCGTGGAAAGAAGTTCAACCGGTTTCATAAGGTCGGTTTAGAAAAGGAAAACTTCTTCGTACACTTCAGAACCGTTTTTTCTTTATATTCAAAGCAAAAAATGGACTTTATGGGGACGCTTTACGTTTGGCTTTATGATCGGTAAACAGTTAACTCAGCTACGTCACAAATTGAAAATTTGGCTAGTTGTCCCTTGGAAATAGTATTTATAAGATTTGAAGTGAGTAACGTTGATGTATTTTTAACTTTTATTTTAGTGTTACCATTTATACTCAATTGTAAAATAGCAAGGAATACAAAAGTATCATCTTCATCAACTTTAAAAAGATGGAAAAGCTAAAAATAAATGCATACTTTACAAAAATGACACAGCCATTGTAATTTCTCGCTGATCACGCTGATATATCACGCCGATATTCTAAAAATACGTTATGAATTTAAATGCGTGCCCAACTGATAATGCGAAGCAATGTGTATTCAGAATTATACAAATTTATTTGACCTTGTGTCAAGTTTACGATATGCTTTTTTTTCCTACTATCAGCTGTTTGCGTTACAAATTTAAGAAGATGTGTTTCAGATTTCAGTCTGCTGAATAAATGTTAGTTTTTTGTAATAATGACATTTTGTACTTGGTCAATATTACAGTAATAGAATAAGGTAAAAATTTTAAAAACTACTTTTTTCAACTGAACTAAAAATGACGCAAAATTTTTTGTTTTGTTTTTGTCTTAACCTAAAACAAAAAAAGTCGGAAGAAAATCATTATAAATAGAAGTGAAATGTTCCGTTTGCTTAGTTTCAAATAAAAAAATGGAATTATTTTCTCATTTTTAGTCTACTTGAAAAAGGTAGTTTCTTATATTCATTTTTCTAATTTTCTTTTTAGAGTTTTATGTCAGCTAATTTATTTCGGAAAGTAGTTGAAATTTCGATTGGTGGCAGAAGTGGGGTAAATTCTGCTAGAAAAATTGGGAAACAATGGTAACTTACTCTGTCATCACTCACAAAACTTAATTTGAAACTTAAGTGTTCCAGCTATTCAAAAAGTGGTCAAAATTTTAATTGACTCTAAATTCTTTTTGAAGATACTATCTCAATAAATTCTGCTTGTAACGGAGGTGATAGCAACTGACATACAGTTTTTCAGCATAGAGTTCACTTGAAAATTTGAATACTCTCACTATTCAGATTCGGTTTTTAGCACCACGCTGCGACAAACAGCTTAATGACACTAGCCTTTGATTTTCACATTGAATCTGAATGAGACTGGATCATTCCATTTATTTCAAAGGTGGGGAAAGTAGGTTTTTCTGCACATGCGTCGGAATTTACTCTCACCAGGATTGCCATACGTAGTATTTTCAATAATAAAGTGTTGTACTCATGTTTTTTTCTCAAATCAATTCTTATATCTGTTACCGGCGAAGTATGAAATCCGGCATTATATATAATATATAATGTCGGATGCTATTTAGGCAAAGTATGAAATAAACGTCTTGATGAGGTTATTATGTAAATGATGTGCATGTTACTGTGTAAGACCGAAATTGGTGGTTGTTAACTTTCTCTGGTGAATGTTGACAATCACATAGTAGCTTTGGTGAATGTCCGAAATATTTATTACATCCGATTTGATATTAATTTATTCGTGGATATAATTACATTTATTCGATATTTTAATACTTACTGACGATAGATTAGAAGAAACATAAGTGTTTGGAGTATCGGGTAAATGTATACCGGGCAGTGGCCCTTGACCTTAAAAAAACATCAGTGTAGGGTATACCGGGCAAATGTATACCGGGCAGTGGTCCTTGACTTTAAAAAACATCAATGTAGGGTATACCGGGCAGTGGCCCTTGACCTTAAAAAAACATCAGTGTAGGGTATACCGGGCAAATGTATACCGGGCAGTGGCCTTTTACCTTAAAAAAACATCAGTGTAGGGTATACCGGGCAAATGCTTACCGGGCAGTGACCCTTGACCTCAAAAAAAAAACATCAGTGTAGGGTATACCGGGCAGTGGCAATTGTATACTATGATTAATCTTTCTAGATTTTACTTAGATTTTCTTACGTCAACTCATAAAAATACATGAAGAGGTATAAAAAAATATTTCAAACACTATATAAAATTAGTTACGATTTTTAAAAAAATGTAATCAGAGTGTAAAAAATATTATCTTTAAAAACATCAGATTAATTTAAAACTTATTAGAAATGTATATTTAAATCCGAAATTTGTAAATGGCGTCATCGTTTTAATTTTAAAAATCTACTTGCAGAAAGAATAGGATAGCTTATGTGTCTTCAAAAAAGATATTGCAATCGGATTCACTGTATAGTTCCTGCGCCGAAATGATGCGCAGTAAATTCTACTTTCCCCACCTTGGAAATAAATGGAATGATCCAGTCTCATTCAGATTCAATGTGAGAATCAGGGGCCACTCTTAATGACTAGGTAGATTGATGAGTTTATCTTTTTCTTTTATTATTAACTGAATTTATTATGCTACTTGTAAACGTTTGGCGATTTGTTTTATTTTAGTTCGATGATATGTTTAGATGTTATTTCTTTAAAGATGTCGCTTGTTAATTTAATCAAAAGTGCATTTTGTAAAGTAAATTACAATCGTTTTTAAATATTTTAATTTTTTGCCATTTTTTTTTTACTTAATTTATTTCAATGTTGTATAAAATTCATATTTATAAGATTATATGGTTTGTTCAAAAATTGCATTTACTCGAAATAACTGGCTCTACACTCTTTATTTTACTTTTAATAATGCAGTAATCGCTTGTACAAAGTTGGTTTTCAAATGCAATTGAAATCTGGTCTACATGTTTATCAGATATTCATTCAGAAAATATATTTGAAGCATTGCACTATCATTTTCAACCAATTCAAATAAATTAAAAATATCTACAAAAATTTAGTTTTAACACTTTATTTCATACAATCCATTAATCCATACTTTATTTCATACATTTAGTACTCTTTAAGGTCAGTTATGGGAAATTGTTCTAATTCTGGCGGTAAAACACAAAATATCAATTTTCGCATTCATTACTATGTGCACTAAGCTGAAAGTTAAGTTCTAAATCATTTAACGAATTTCTTTAACTGTAATTCATAATAATATATTAATGTAATTTGCTCTAAAAATAATAATTGTAAAACGGTTAATAAGATTAGACACCGATTTAAATAAGTTTATCGTAAAATGTAGCGTAGAATTACAGTACAATAATAATAATAATAAACAATTCTCTTGAACTTTTAATTTAAAAAATAAACAAAATCAAAATCGTCATAATAACAATACAGATAAATACTTTTAAATGAGGGAAACAAAAATATTGAGTATAGTTAAGTGCGGCGAGCTCTCTGCTTATCGCTTATAGCTCTGCGTTTTACAAAAATATTTATAGGAAAACAATACATTTAAGTCTTATATGAATTTTATGCTGATGACAACCAAACCAATATGAAAAATTAAGTGGGGAAACTGGATCCTTCCATGTGATTTTTCTGCCAATAAAAATGCACCGACAACAATGGTAAACTACGACACCATCATTAGATTTTTATATATAGTTAGAAATTTTGTTAGGTAGTCTTACGTAATAGTTTAAGTAGGGTTAAATAGTTAGTTATGCATTAAGTGTTTATTTAGAATAATTTTATATTTTTATAGAAAGAAAATCTGCTCACAACAGCTTGTACATTAAAATATATTTGTTTTTTTTAAAATTGAATATTGTATAATTTTGATGAGAAAATATGTTTACCACCAAGAAATAAAAAATTATTGCGTAGCGATCGCGGAAGTTGGCGGGCAAAAGGCTGAGCCTCCTTTAGTTTTTATTTTGCTGATTGAAAAAGGAACTTAAAAAATTCTTACGTCTTTTTTATCTCTTTTTATTCTAGTAAGATAATATTATACAAATGGAATATGTATATAACATTTGTGTGACGTCATGCAACAATATCCATTTCCAAAGCTTTCATTTTCCTGCGCTTTTTTGCTATTAAAAATAGATTTGCGAGAGGTGTTAATGCAAAACTAATTAAGGACAGAGCAATAATAACGTAGTAGACACCATCATAAGATTTTAATTCATTTCTGAAGTATCCTGAAAGAAAGAAAAAATAATTGTAGTATCGTTGAATTGAATTTCAGAATAACTATTTGAATTAAGCAGTTACTGTTAGTTTATTCAATTGTTTATTGTGTTTGAAAGTTTTGTATGTGTACAAAAATTTGTTGATTGAGATTTGATATTTTGATCTGCTTATGGACAGTTATTAATAGAGACACGTCCAGTTTCTGAATAGAGATATGTTTTTTTAAAATTTATTTCCAATGAGCTGCCTTATCGGTCTTGCCGATGAGCAGACCTAGTGCGTTCTCCAGAGGTGGTATCCACTTTTTCAGGACCACCACAATGGGTGAGATACCGTTGGTCATGTTAATTTGGACGTCTAGTTTCTGCCACACTGGATGGCAACACCGAGACTCTATTTGGATGCTAAAGTGCACTAGGAATTTAATTTTGCTGGAAATGCCAAGAGCCAATAAGACACTCCAGGGATCTTTTACATGCCGCATAATCATAAGACATGGCCGCTGAGGATTTTCTGCATCCCGAAAACCCGGTGTCTGGGCCGGGGATCGAACCCGCAGACTTGGGCTCAGAGGGCCGACGACAAACCAGCTGCGCCACCCAGCCACGAATAGAGATATGTAGTATCGCTGAATTTCTGAATAACTGTTTAAATTATATAGTTACTTCTAGGTCTTAAAATTTTTTTGAAGTTTTTTTTGAAGTTTTATTGATTGAGATTTGATATTTTGATCCACTTAAAGACAATTATTAATTAAGACACTTATTAATTTTAAACAAACCTCTAACCGTAGAGTCCATATGTCTCTAGTGAATTACGACATACGAGTAACATTCTCTGATTGGTTGAGAGTGATTTATAACGAAAAGAAATGAAACCAACATTTCCTCGCAGGCTAAGATAGAGTCGTCAACAAGGGATTTTTATTCGCCGAGAACTCAAAATTATGTATTTTTTTCTTACTTTCAAAATTAATCTGTACTGTTTAAAGCATCTATTATACTCAAAATAAATGTTGAAAATCCATTAATGCAAATAAACAGTTTTTTTTATTATTAGTTATTGCTAAAAAATGTCGCAAATGATTAAAAGAAAGTTAAATTTTAATTTTTAAGGAACTTAACTAATTAAATAATGATATAAGAAACTTCAGCTTATAGTTCTGAATCTTTAAGCTGTGTAGAAAATTTAATGTAGCATGACAAAATAAGTCCACACCAGAAAGAAAGCAACTTTTTGAACGGATACTGTTTATCCACTATGTTGCAAAATGAAACATAAAAATTATATAGTGCCCATATATATAAAATGTAAGCCTTCCTTTGAGATGATGCGTCCTTTCTGGTGGTAAGTTAGGAAATTATCAAAATTTCCTTAATGTAACTATTAGGCGCATCATAATTATTTCTATAAGTAAATAGTTTCCTTTTTAAGGGATCTTTGCTCAAATAATTGCAAAGAAATTATCTGCATGCTACATAATAAAGAACTATCATTTTATTAATATCTAATATCAATTCAGATTCAAATTTCTATCATTTCGCGTCTACTTTAGTGAATTTGTTTTATTTTTTAATTATTAAAAATCAGAATTTCGTTAAAATTTAATTTTGCTTTATTTAAATTTTATTTTTTGAATTTAATGGCCCAAGTATTGTAACTAAAAGTCAGTATTCAACAAAAAGACTAATACGTGAGATAACCTGGCCAGTAGGGCGCTGGGCCCATGTCCGAGAGTTCGTGGGTTCGAACCCCGCTTGCCGAAGACTCCCCGTGTAGTTAACTGACTGATGCACGTTAAATCTGTCGAGTAGCAAAAGTCCTCCATGTTCCTATAACAAATCAAAACCTCTGGGGGTACTGGATTGGAGATGGATCGTTCTCTGATTCAGGTCAAAATTACGATCTGTGGATGAATGAATGGATGTATGAATGGGTCCGCCCTATAAACGGGTGTGACGAATGGTGTGGCCGAAGTCGAATTCTTAGCCATAGATGGCGCCACTGGAAAACAAGAATAATCGCACCCCCTCTGCCTAGACAGTCATACGGCAACAACAACTAATACGTAAATTTCTATAAAAGTTGTTTCTTTTTAAAATGGAAATTGTGATAAAATTTCTTGTCATAGTATAATAAAATAAAAAAGTATGAAAAACAAATTTTTATTTAAAATGGAGAAATTAATTCTATTTTTGTCGCATCTGAAATAAAAAAAGCAGGGCACTCTACTTATCAAACATAGGTTTTTGGTGTTGTTAAAATATATAACAAATTAGAAAAGCTAGGAACGCTTATCTCATTTATTGAAATCAAATCAATCTCCATATGTTATTAATTATTAAATTACTCATACTTACCTATAAGGGGAACCACTGTAAAACTAAGTGGAGCGTACAAGATATTTCTACTGGCCATGGCCATCATTTGTTCTTCTTTTTCTAAAAACTTAAATATCAAGCCAGGAGCTATAGCTATTTGAGCCCCTGTGATCAAAGCAAAAATTGATGAATAAGTCATCAACATTACAAAACTTGAGCATAGTATCAATCCCAAAACAGATATTGCACAAATTAAAGATGTCGTCATTTGAAACATTGTGTATCCCACAAAACCTTTGTCTACCACCCATAAAAAACCGATTCGTCCAACCAAATCAAACAAGGGAGGAAACATTAAAACATACACTTCGTATTTTTTTGGTAGTCCTTTATCCCTTGAATAGTCGATAAGAGTTGTCCAAACTAATGTCACAATGTAAGCGAGAATGCTCATGATTGTTACCAAAACTAAAAAGATTGGGTTCATAAAAACTTTGAGAGAACTCCAAAATGCATGTTTTTTAGTTTTGCTGGTGCTTTTTATCGAAACATTAAAAGCTGTGTTAGAATTTTCTGCTGCGCTATTACCTGAAGATGGTAAAGCGATTTCGTTTGATTTTCCGTTGCCACTATAGTTATCATAGTTTTTCCTTTTGAATGAACTGTTATTCGTCTGCATTGAGCTACCCATATATTTACTATTTAAATTGAAATTTGTTTCGGGAGCAGTTAAAATAATAACATTAGGTGACAAAATATTAAAATCCTCTTTAAAATGATCAGTACTGCTACATTTCGATGTTGAATACAATGATTCATTCGATTCTCCATAGTCACTGTTATGAATTACATCACTATTTGTAAAAGTATCAATGGATGATATACTCAAATTATCCCTCGTACTGTTAGTTGATGAAAACAATGTAGCTTTGTTTGATTGTTTGCAGTCATTGTTTAGACTTTCATCATTGTTTGTAAAAGTACCGTTCGATGAGATACTGAAATCCTCTCTCGTACTATTTGTTGATGATAATAACGTAGCTTCTTTTGATTGTTCGCTATCATTATTATGACGTCCATCATTGTTTATGAAAGTACCATTTGATGAAATGCTTAAATCATCACTCATATTGTTTGTTGATGAAACTAATATAATTTCATTTGATAATTCGCAGTCACTGTTATAACTTATGGAATTGCTTTTTTGTTCCAAATCGTTAGATTGGGTTTCATTATTATCTTTATCAACTTTAGTTATACTTGCATCAGTATTTTTTACTGAAGCAGATTGAACAGGATTTTTACTCGACGTAGCACTCGAATTTTTTTTGAAATTATTACATTTCTCGAATTGTAACACATTTTTATTCGATTGTTCCTCGTCACTGCTATGATCCTCGGTTGACTTTTTCGATGTAAAAACACACGTAGATTTCAAGGGACAATCAGTTCTCGTTTCTTTCAGCGTAGCAAAGAGATCTTTTCCTGAAATATCGTCTTTGATTTTATTCTTTACTTTGCTCTCTGGGGGTTTGTCGATTTCGGTTTTTTCCTGTAGCAGTATTTCAGGTGGTTTGTGCAAAGTTTCAACATCTTTACCAACCATCATAATTAATAAACCTACTGGTAAACCATTCAACATAATTCCTGCTACAACAAGAAAAGTACCAGCTGTTCCGTAAATGTCAAGCAAATAGATAGCCATTGGGGGGAAAATTAAAGCTCCAACGCAAGATCCACATTTAACTATACCAATGGCTGTGTTAAGGTTTTTTCTGAAGTATTTCTTTATAATGTTAGGTAAGAAAAAAGTTCCTGTAGCCAAACCAGCTCCTGAAAAGCAACAAATAAGTATACATAAGAATAAAACTGTAGACGACGAACTTAAAAAAAAACTAACATTTGTAACACCTTATATGGAATTTTAAATTAAAAGGAAGAATATTGAAGTAATGGGAAAAATTATCTTAAATTTAGGTAAGATCATGTTGAGAAACAGTATAATTGTTTTAAGAATCCTTAATAGGATAGGCACCGACGAACTCAATTTTATTCTATTGTAAAAGAATGTTTAAATAAGCATAACATATTTCCTATCGTTCAATAACTAACTTTATCTTTCCTTCGTGCTTTTCCTTTTCTCAAAATAAATATGCATTAAATCTTTTTCTTAGAAAGTACTTATTTAGAGGAAATGATATTCTATAAATAGATATCCTTTCTATTTATAGAACAAATATGTTCAAAACTGTCAAATGGTTTCTATGAAATCAGAATAAGCAGTTGTAACTAGATATCATTACACTTCGCCATGCGCCAAGCCATTTGGAATCAATGATTTGGCTAGCAATAGCTATTGCTTATTACTAAGATTTTATTTCTTCAATACAAGCTTTATAAATGTAAAATGTATCGGTTGCGTTAAGTTAATAACGAATCTTAACGATAAAGTTAATAACGAATCTTTTGTATAGTCAAAACATTGTTTCAATCATTTAATGGTTTAGAATGTTTATAATAATTAAATATCGAAAATGCTTACAGAATTTGATTTTTGAAAAAAAGTTTAAATGAATACTTTCATTTAAAAAGAGAATGAGAAAAAAAATTTAGTTATTAAATGATAAATATATTTGGCTTCGCCGTTGGATGAAGTTCTAAGGTAATATTCTTACTTCTCTGTTTATGCACTTTGCAATGGAAAAGTATATACTTTCTAGAGGTTGAAAGCATCACCGTGGAGTCGAATAGCTATTGAAAAGTTTTTACACATTACAGAGATCAATTTGTGAATTTCCTTTGAAATATACTAAACTAATAAGCCACCATATTTTGTTGATATTTTAAAGGGGCTATTGGCAGCTAGTTTGGAAAGATTTTGTCGAAGCACCACTACAATCTTTACAATCTTAGCTTCATATCCAAATAACTAAAAAAGTCTTGTAAGTTCGTTGGTAATCAAACTTAAGAAACAAGTATATATTTTCATAAAATTATCACCAAAATATCCATTATTAGGGCTAAAATTTTTTTAAACAACAATATCTAGTTATTTTTAAAATACAAATACAAGTATATTTTTCGCTAGTTAAAAATTTATGCTGAAATATGCTGACAAATTTTCTGTTTTTCACCAAACAATAAATTGACAACAAACAATAAACAATAACTAAATTACTTGATATTTCATATTGGTTTTATTATTTTATTACTTTGGTACGAAGCATAGTACAAGTTTTAAAATTAATGCGTCCGTTGGAGCTATTATTTTAAACTTTATTTTTAATCACTGAAAAAAATTTCGTCTTTTTTAATAAGTCATCTGCAAAATTTTATAATTTTATGATGACTGAATTAATAATATGTAACTTTTGACTTCTCATAATTATGGGCATATTTTATAGTAGCTATAATAAAATTGTAATTTTAATACTGGAAAACAAAAATAAGGGAAAAAGATGTGATCGCCTTATTGCGATCACTGGTTACCCATTGGTGACCACTGGTTATCCATTGGTGACCACTGGTTACCATATGTAAATACATTGAAAATGCCTAGTGAGAATAAAAAGCAAAACAGCAGCTGTCTCCATAGCAACGCATGCAATGACGAGGCATGCACACTGTTTACTATTACTCTTGAACACAGTTGAAAAGTGTGGTGATGTCCAAATAAGTTGCGCACTCCATCAAACCCAAAACAAGAACCATTTTGCCAATGGGTAAGAAAAGTTAACAAAATAATACATTTACCATAGATAAATCCTAAGAAGATTATGACAACTGTAATGTTTTCTGCGAAATATACTCCACTGAATCCCAAAGCTGCTAATAAAACTCCTAACAGTGTAATTTTCTCTGATCCAAGCTTTTGCCCCAACAGTCCTGCTGGAGGTCCTGAAAGAGTGTGAAATAATTAAATTAAAAGAATTTTTATTTTCATAAAGGGTGTCATGTTATTAAAATTTAATGTGACTCAAATTTATTAACAAAAAACACGTCATTCAATCAACAACTGAAAAAATTTGTAATTTTTATAGCTTCGAATTGACAATCGCCCAATATTGATTTGCCTTTTAAATGCATGGCTGCCAACTGTTATGGAAGATCTTTTTGAGGGAACCATAAATTATAAATAATTTATCACTTTTCGTTGGCTTTCGGAATTGTATTGATTTGCCTTCCAAATGCGCCAACTGTTATGGAAGATCTGTTCCCGTTGTGATGAAATCATAACTAAAAATAAAAGCACGAGATTTTAAAGAGCATGAGAGAGTCGTTCTTTTTTAGAAGATAGTTTCTGTTTTTGATTTGATGTTTTATACTAACCAGTTACGGGTTTTTCTATGTTTCTTATGTTAGTTTATTCTAATCCGTTACTGGATTTTCTATATTTTGTTGAAAGATTATTATTAACCCGCTACAGGTAATTTAATGTCGTTACTGTATTTGTTGTGGTGAAGTAAGTGTCTTTTTTATGAAACAATGAACTGTTTCTTAATGTCGTTTGATACGTCTTTTTTATCGGTGTATGATGACATCTCCGATCCTGTATTGTTATGCAACTCTCAATAATTATGATGAGCAGTTTTGGCAATCAATTTTGTAACACCCTATAGACAATTAACTAGGGGATAGAGCACTCGTCTCCCAAAGAGGGTGCTTGGATTCGAATCCCAGAGATGGCTGGTCGATACGTATTTTGCACCCGGCTCGCACCTCCCACAGTACTGACGTAAAACTGTTTCCCTCCCCATGTAACGCAAATGCGGGTTAGTTCTATCAAACAAGTCCTCCACTGAAGCAAATTTCTCCCAATATTGATCCAGGAATTCCTTTGTCTTCTGGATTGGGTTCAAAATTACAAGGCTACGGAGTTTAACATTGGCGGTCGTAAACTCAAAATTCAGTCGGCTGTTTAATGCCGGTCATAAAATAAAATAAAATATATATAATTGACAATGATACATAAATTTCAATAGATTACGATTGCAGACTTCAGATTGCGATTAACTTTTGTACTTATAACGAGCAATATACCATGTTTATAATAGTATACCAAGAGCAAATAATTACTACCCTTTACCTAATATGCTGGTCATTAAAATAAATATGACTATTGGCATTGCGGCTAATTTTCTGTCTGTTTCGTACGTTTCTATAAGAACCACATACACTAATCCAGATAATCTGTAAGGGCACATAACTAGGACACTTATAATAAAAGCTCCAAATGCAATCAGCCAACTTCTGAAATCTTCCTTCTCTTCATTATTCTTCTCCATTTTTCAATCAAAAATGTCTGAAAAACAAAATAAAAATTGGTTTGCACTTTTATTTTAATATATGTTGCCAGCAACTTTTCTTTCTTTGAAAATAATCCCTTAAACACGTACGGACATAAGCCTTTTAAATCAAACTACAATCATGAACTTTGTCATTTGTTCTTTCTGATAATTAAAACCTCTCACACTCTTGGTACTGCTTCAAAGCAATATAATTTCCCCAAATTCGTTTTAATTCTCCTTTTTTTTTACTTATTGTGGATTATTTTTTGTTTTAACAAATAAGTTTTTATAGCAATTTTTTTTTAAGTGTTCAATGTTTCAGTCAAAGTTTGCTACCAAATTTCACAAATTATGGAATCATATTTCTAATTCAAACTGTTTTTTATAAATCGTAAATGAAACACAAATAATGCCACAAAAATAGACACATAATGGTTTTTATTACATAAAAGAAGAACATTCCTCAGTGTCAAAACATAAAATCATTTGAAACTGAGAAAGATTCTTGTTCATAGAACCGAAACTCTAGCATATCCCTTTTTTATATTATTATTTGTGCTTTATTCAAACGTAATACAAATTATACTCCATCTTCACTTCTATGATAGTTTTACCATAACTTTAAAAAAATAGACTTCAGAACTAGTCTTCTAACATGAAATTCTTTTGAATTCTTCCCGACAAGTTCGCCAAATTTTAATTTAATGGAAAAACTGTGACCTATAGTAAATAAAGAAATTTATGTAAATAGCTCTCATTATAGAAATATACACCAAAGAGCCATTACATTATGGCCACCCTCCATCTATAAAAATGGGCACGCCCAGGTTTTCATGGTTTCTCGCCCAGGAACAATGTTTTCATGGGGCACATTAGGACCTCCTCTTAGAACAATCCCTGACGTCTGTACGCTACTTGAACATAGTTGCAGACTAGGTTCACCCATTCATGTCAACAGTTTTTCCTGCTTGGGGATGGTGTTTACCAACAGGATAATGCACCATGTCATAAGGGTCGAATCGTCATGGATTGGTTCAAGGAACATTCCAGTGACTTTCACGTCATGTCTTGGTCCCCGAATTGCTTATTACAGGGACCTTATATTACAGGGACCTTAATCCAATAGAGCATTAGTGGTCCTACTTGGAAAAGCAAATTAGTGCTGCCACGCTACCCCCTCGCAATGTGAGGGAATTGCAGGACCAGTTGGTGAGCGCTTGGTACCAGATACCTTAGACTACCTATCAGCACCTTGTGGAATCAATGCCACTGAGGGTGCTAGCTGTTTTGAGGGCTAAAGGTGGTCCTACATGTTATTAGCAGGGTGGTCATAATGTAATGGCTCTTCGGTGTATATTGATTGTAACATTTCTGAACACGCACCAGTTTCAAGAAAAAGTTTATAACAACATTTTTATCCGATATGCAGTTCTGTCAGGAGCACGGATTTTGAAGCGTGACTTAATGTTCCAATAAGATAATGACCCAAAGTATACTTCCAAGTTATGCAGTAAAATTATTAGAAAAACTAAGAAGATTCTCCTGGTCTGTCACTTATTAAACTCCTGTGGAATGAACAGGACAGGGAAGTCCGTATGTAGATACCAACAAAGACAAAAGACCTATGGAGGAATTTTCAAAGCTGTTACAGACAATATATTGTCAATCTTGATCAAACAAATGCATTACATATGCAAACTTCTTATTAAGACCAAAGGTCGGCCTTTTCTGATGAAAACAAACTTCTTCAACAATTCTGCATAATTATAAGCAAAGTATAATGTATGTTCATTTCCTTGTATTAACAATAATGTTTATTTTAAAAATAAGTCAAATAAAGAAAGTTCTGGTTTGATATGGTATCTTCTTTTTGAAAATTTCTGGAGAAGCAGTAGTGTGCTCAGACTTTTGACGAGGACTGTATGTGAACTCAAAACAAAAATTTCTGATACAGAAAGATATATCACTAAAATGCGTTTAAAGATTGGCTTTTTAAATTTAACGTACATCCTGCTTTCTAAATCCATTGCAAAGAATTATGTTTTTATTAAAAATAACATAACAACTAACAAGTTGCTTAAAATTTTTCATACATTTGTGAAGTATTTTTATTATCATGGAAAGGTAAATGTTATCATGAGTACTTCAAAACCAACCTAACTAATAATTAGTTGAATAAGTCTTTATACAATTGAAAGGTATCACTAAATTTGCGCATGATTATGGAATTGTGCTAGAAAATGATGTAGGGAAAAAAAGAGAATAACAGCTGGTTTTTGCGCTTTCATTGCCAAGCAATATTTTGAGCGTTGTTGTGTCATTTCCTGGTCGGGCTGTTTTCCGCTGTATAATGCAATTCAACGTATTATATTTTTTTCTTTCATTTTTAAAGTTTAAGGTTTATGCCAACAAGCCCATTGTCATCCATGCTCCACATCAGCGAAATCCAACCATATTTATGCAAAATGGTCATTATAAAGTTGGCGGATAATTACCATCTAATTAATCCAATATCCCATGCGTTGTGTGTTGCTCCAGGCGTAACCATGCACTGTGTACTTTATGAATCAATGCTGAATTCTCTTTTTTAATCTGTGATTTTGTATCTTTCATGGATGTGCTTTATTTTGACATAAAATGTGTAAAACATGCTTTAATGTATCTAGCTTTATTATAGTTCTAATTATTATTAGTTTTGTTCATTCTCATTTCCAAAATAAAAGCAAAGCTGTTATTTTTTCGAACTAATTTCATTCATAATTACATAAATTATAAACTAACTGAATACACGTTTTTCGTTCGAGGTGGAAAAAAAAAAGAATTAATGAATCACAATCTGTATTGAACAACAATACCAAATCATACACGAGTCTGAAAGATAAATACTGACCAAATTAATTAAGCTAAAATAATTTCAATGTATTATTTATTTATTAATATTCGTTGCCTTTCCCGGTAATTTAACGTTATTAGATTAGACAAAACGCGTTTTTAGTAGCTCATCCCTTCAAAATAAAGGCTAACTGTATTCAGTATCATGTGGCGTAATGGTGTTTCTCGAAGACAAATAATGGTTTTCAAAATTTTCCACAGTCAAGCAATTTTTTCCTGTACTTATATCATCGAGAAGCCGTAATAAATCTATTTCCACAGCATTTATAATAAAAAAGCACAGTATAGATGCAATTTATTGGAAGTATAAGCACTAAATTTATTTATAAAATACTTTGAACCTCTATTAGTATATTTGATACCGATTAAACTACATCGATTACTATAATACTAGTAACGCATGTTAACGAGAATAATTAAGCATCATTGGTGTCAATAATAGTATATGAGTTTTTTACGTTTCTCCTAAATGAATAAGTATAATTTTTTTTTTAAATTTGGTATTTAGTACAATTAGCTTTTTCTTAAATTTCAATTAGTGTCTTTAACCAAAATTAATTAAACATCATTGGCGTCAAAAAAGAAAAGGCGAGTTTTTACGTTTCTTTTCAACGAATTAGTACCATTGCTTTATTAATTTTGCTTTAAATTGCAAAGCTTACTGTTTTTCAATTCCTACTATTAGTTCACACTCTCTCTCTATATATATTTATATATCTTGTTCAAATTTTGAATTTATGGATGGGAATTATTACAACCATGCAACTGAAACATATTTACGGTAAGAAATTTGAGAATCAAAAAGTAATAAATAGAATTTTGTTTTCGATTAGGCGCGGCAGTGAATTAATGAGTCTGCATTTGTAATGAAGTAAAAAGTATCCTTACATTGATCAATAAAAAAAGAATAAATATTTAATGTTCTCTTTAAAAGATTAATAAAATAAGCTTAAGTAATTAAAGATATTTTGAAAGACAGGAAATAAATATGTAATGTCAATTGTGGCATCATAGAATTGTTAATAAAATACTTCTTATTCATTGCACTCAAGTTCAAATACATTTTTTAAACTTATTTAATTTCAATTAGTTCCTATTACCAAAAGTAATTGATCATTACTGGCATCAAAAATAGCCTAACGATTTTTTTTCCCAAACGAATTAGTACAATTTTGCTATTTCTCAACTTATTTTTTTTGTTGCTTTAAATAGTACAAAATACAAAAATTAATTAAAGATTAGTGGTGTCAATTAAAGTTTGGTGAGTTTTTGCACTTCTCTTAACTGATCAGTAGGGGAGAGTGGGGTCAATTGTAACAGGGTACGATTGTAACAGAGCAAAAATTTCGAGTGTCGGGTTCTAGATTTGGTTCCTAGGTGGCGCACAAGGTGTATTTAATAAATCTACATGTACACCCCTGCTGGCAACCATTTTTATGTACTTTTGAAAGAGTTACATCACAAAAGATATTTTCACGCTGCGTAAGTACTTTTTTTGGTATTAGAATATTATATTGTAGCAAAGTAATTTTGTTTAAACAAATAAAAATTATTAACCGAATATGTAAGTGGACACCTTAATTAACATTTCAATAAAAAAAAAATTAGTTTTGCTAATTAACTAGCATTGTTTTTAACAAATGAAGCTGAAATGGCGTCTTGGGGACAATTGTAACAATAAGTAAAGGGACGATTGTAACAGCTGAAAATAAATAATCTTATGTTTACAAACCATTACTTAACTCTTTAAGAACCACCAATAGTTTCCTATATCATTTATATTATGTTGCATGTGCATTATTTTATTTGTCACCTTTCACAGCATAAATTAAAATTTTTAACCCCTTAAAGTTAAAAGTTTAACCCTTTAGGTCTCTGCTCATTATTATTTTTACTCCTAAAATATCACTACTATTTTGATCAATAAAAAAATATATCACAACTATGATAATATGTATAATTAACTATGTTTTAGTTGAATTTATGAACTGTTACAATTGACCCCGTAAGTGGGGACAATTGTAACAAGTGCACGACTGTCAAAAATTGTTAATAACTAATATAATAACATTTAAAATAAGGTATTTATTTTTTTTTCTAGTAGAGGATAGTCTACTTTACTCGTCTGTCAATTAATACTAATAATATATTGGAATTTTTGTTAGTTAAAAATAGTTAAGTAAAAAATGTTACAATTGACCCCCCTCTCCCCTACCATTTCTTTTTTAATTTGCTTTTAGTGCAGTAGCTCATTTTTTTATTTCAATTGGTACATACTAACAAAAGTGATTAACCATCATTGGTGCCAATAATTATAAATGGCGATTTTTAATGCTTCTCCTAAGATAATTCGTACTATTTATCCACATTAGTTTTTCTTTTCAGTGCATCTCAATTATCATTGATTTTAAATTATATAAACACGTTTTAAAAGCATAAGAAAACAAAACAAAATTAACATGTTCATAGCTTTAGGAATGCTAACTTGGTAACGTAGTTCGACTATGCTTCCACTTTATGTTGATCATTGAGTTTATCTGATATAACGAATAAAGTAATTAGAAGTTATAGAACGTGCAATAAACTCCTGAGAGCTATAAGCTAGCATTCATTACTGATGTTATCTTAAAGAAAATTTCCTGCTTGTGGTTTAATTTGTATCAATGGCAATTTAAGTCAATGAAAAAATTTATATTTTTTAAACGTCTCTCTCTAATGATTTAATTAAAATTTTTGAACAATTTTAGATAGAGAGCTAAAATTATCCACTGTCCGAATTTCAGGAACTAGCATAAACGGTTCTAATATTATAAGAGAAACGCACATACAAACTCTTCATTTCATTATCGTAGATAATGCAAAATTAGCTAACTTATGAAAATATCGAAAATTAAATACGCATTATCCTGTTTCCATTATAAAAATAAAACAATGTTAAAATAGTTTAGTTTAGTCATATGTAGTTAAATCACGTTTAAAAGAACCGAAAAAATATAATAATTCAGAAAAAATTTAACTGTATGTAACTTTGTATTTTAAAATAAAAACATTGTCTTTTTGGCAGTACGGCTACTTATATGAAGAAGATAAAGACATATTCAAGATTAATGCTTATCAAGAGTAGGCAAACAAAATAGTTCAAACTTACCTTGTACTGATAGTTACAAAAGTTTACGAATTTTGAAATGTAACATAATTAATTTATTACATAAAACACGCTTTAAACTCAACCGTTACACGCGCATTCAAATAGTTTCTTCTTCTTTTTTTTAAATTTTTCGATATAAGTTTGAAATTTATCAGTTGGATTTTTTTCTTATTTTATTTACGTTTGTTTTTGGATTAAGAAAAGCGTTATCTGCTCGACACTTATTCCTCGGTTTTCAAGAAAAAATGATAAAAAAAATCTTCTTATCTGATCAATTAAATGACACTGAAACGGTAGGTAAATATGTTCTGTAAATAATTCGGAAAGCGCAAATGAAAATAAAATCTTTAAAAAGTACATTTTTTAGATGGATTGAAAAGCAGAAATAGATCTATTAGTGGTTGAAATTCTAATTGACTATAAAATGGAAATAAATTTTGCTTGTAACATTTTAGAAAAAATTGTAATTTGTCTTGTTATAAGCATACCTGCCAAGTTTTAATCTTTTCGAGGATGACTTTTACCAGTGGTAGTAAAATGGAATTTAAATTGCAATTTTCGGCAGAAACATAAGTTGCATTTTGAAAAAGCTTATGCGTATTACCACAATAGTATTTACATATTAATTTATCTATACTTAATTTTTAAAAATAATAGTGGTGGTCAAAAGTCGCGATGGCTCAGAGGATAGAGCGTTGTTGACGTATGCCTGTTTAGGCAGAGGGGGTGCGATTGTTCTTGTTTTCCAGTGGCGCCATCTATGGCCGAGAATTCGACTTCTGCCACACCATACGTCGCAACCGTTTATGGGGCGGACCTATTCATACATCCATTCATTCAACCACAGATCGTCATTTTGACCTGAATCAGAGAAAGATCCATCTCCAATCCAGTACCCCCAGAGGTTTTGATTTGTTATGGGGACAAGGAGGACTTTTGCGACTCGACAGATTTAACGTGCATCAGTCACTTTACTACACGGGGAATCTTCGGCCGGTGGGGTTCGAACCCACGAACTCTCGGACATGGGCCCAGCGCCCTACCGACCAGGCATAGAGAGTCTTCTTAGAGAGTTCGCCTTCCAATGAGGCGACGGATCGAGGGTTAGAGTCCCCTTGCCATCAAGTTAGCCGTGGAAGGTTCTCGTAATCGCCCTCTCCATGTAACGCAAATGCGGGTGAGCTCCATCAAAATGTCCTCCACGAAGGTAAATTTCTCTCAATATTTGATCCATGAGTTCCCTTGTCTTCTGGATTGGGTTCAAAATTACAAGACTACGGAGTTGAACATTAGTAGTCATAAACCCATAAAATTGGGTCTGCCGCTCAACGACGGTTATAAAATAAAATAAAATATAAATGCAGGGAATGTATAGAAAGCCACCACCACTTTAAATATGGAAGTAAAATTTTACGCCAAATGCGTAAAAGTTAGCAGGTATGCATAAGGTACAGAGCTCCATTTAAAATTTGAGAAATCTAATTAGTCGAAAGTGATTGAAATTTTAATCAACGATAAATTCTGCTTCTCCCGATGAGGCGACCTAGATAAGACTCTCAGCACTGGATGGTCGATTCGAATTTCGCTCGCACCCGTCTCATACTCATATTTTCAATGGTAGAGAGATCATGGATTAAAATCCTCTCGCTGTCCGGCTTACCGGGGGAGGTTCACGTGGTTTTCCTCTCCAGGTAACACAAATGAGGGTTAGTTCCATTACAAATTCCTCCGCGAAGTATAGTTTGATCCAATGCTTGATCTAAAAATTTCCTTGTATTTTGGGTTGGGTTTAGAATTATTAAATCGCGGAGTTAAACATTAATAATCATAAATTCAAATATGGGTCAGCTATTCAGGGCTGGATATAAAATAAAATTTATTCTGCTTGTAGCGATCAGAAACTGATTGAAATTTTTCTACCATAGACCTCCACTACCATAGACCTCAGCTACCATAGATCTCCACTACCACGGACCTCCACTACAATAGACCTCAGCTACCATAGACCTCCACTACCATGGACCTCCACTACCATAGATCTCAGCTACCATAGACCTCCAGTAGAGATTTGACCCCTCCAAGCAAATCGGAAATTGGTCGAAATTTGATTGCAAAATACTATCCTCGTACACGAATAACCTAGTTAATAAAAATGTACTAAAAAGAATATAAATCTATTTGAAAATAAATGCTTTTGAATAACTTTAATTTTTAATCTGCAGTAGAAGTCACTTATAGAGATTTGCTTTAAAATATACTAATACACACAATATTTTACAAACCATTGTTTGTAGAAATTTCCCCCCTTTTTTTTACATAGATGTTCACATTATTGGTAATATTACTTACGTTTTCAATTTGTAATTATTTTAATATAATTTTTTGTTCTTACGTCAGAAATTACTTCTTCTTTACTATTACGAGTGAAACATTGTTTTAAATATTTTGTAACACATTCATTAGACAATTACAAAAAATAAACTTTGCAAAATACATATTATTTTACACTTCAACTTTAAAGGAAAAGATGATAAGAAGGAACTTTGAAGGGTTGTCAATATTATTATTTACAATATTTATGACAATATTATTATTTATAATTTTTAATTACTTATAATTTTTAATATTTATAATTTTTCATTATTTATAATTAATTTTAAATGCTTGTATTATTGAATTATTTATTTATTTCTCTTTTTACATAAATTGTTACTTTTTATTTTAATTTTAAAGTAGTAACCTTTCTTTTACATTGATCGAATAGGGCGACCAATTTTATATTCTTCAAAATCCTCTCATCCAATCTAATGGATAGTTTTGCGCAAAATTTTTATCAGGTGTGAAACAATGTTTAGAATGTTTTATTTGTTCACATTCACGGACTTTTTCTCGAATCAAGTATGTATTTAATTGTATAAAATGTGATAAAACATCACAGAGAATGATATTTGAGCTTAAAACAATCACTACTTTTTGAGCCTTCCTAACCAAAAAAAGAAAATTAAAAGCATTATTTTTTTTAAAAAAAATATATTTATTTACAAATTTTACTATTTCACACATTTCTTTGCATACAAACAAATTTGTTCATATTTACATGCATAAATTTAATCTTTACCTAAAAACAACTCGAAATCATGCGTAAAAATGGTTATGGACATCAAGAGTAAATCATACTAAAAAATAAATCAATACAAAAAATAATTTGCAATAATTCATGGAACCTGTCCATTCGCTTTCATATACTTGACATGGAACCTGTTTATTTGCTTTCATATATTTGACGTGGAACATGATTATATGCTTTCATATACTTGACACAGAACCTGTTTATTTTGTTTTATGTAATTGACATGAAGCATAAATAAAATGCATCAATATAAGCAAAATAAAATTCATGGGAAATAAAGCATAAGCTTCTTATCAGTTTCTGAACTAACGAAAATTATTGGCATTGTAACGCGAGATTTTTTCTTGCCCTTTTCCAACAATAATTTTAAAATATTCTTCCTTAATTCTTTCAATTTTACACATTATCTTCCGTGCAAAAGCAGTTCTAACCCAGCCATACAGCAATGCACTCTTGTAGCGATATTATTTTGTTATGCTAATTATTTTCGTATATTGAGCTATAATAACGCAGAAAGGATTCTTAATACATGACGTATATGTTTCTCTTCGAGTTTTGAATTAGACTTTCTCACATTGCAACATAGGCTTCCTTTTTGCTTTTTCCCATACATGATTTTAAAATGCCATTCTATAATTTCGTGTAACATCTTATACTGTGTCTTAAAAACAAGATCCAAACTTATGCAGCTATACGTTTTTGTAAAAATATTCTTTTCCGAAGATTATTTGCTTTTGTAAGTCTTATTTGCTTATTTGCTTTTATGAGCTTTGAAAAGGCTTGTTACATCCTATGCAGTGTCTTAAGAACAAGATTCAAACTTATGCAGCCAGACTTTTTTGTAAAAATATTCTTTTCCGAAGATTATTTGCTTTTGTAAGTCTTATTTGCTTATTTGCTTTTATGAGCTTTGAAAAGGCTTGTAACATCCTATGCAGTGTCTTAAGAACAAGATTCAAACTTATGCAGCCAGACTTTTTTGTAAAAATATTCTTTTCCGAAGATTATTTGCTTTTGTAAGTCTTATTTGCTTATTTGTTTTTGTTGCTTTGAAAAGGCTTGTAACATCCTATGCAGTGTCTTAAGAACAAGATCCAAACTTATGCAGCTATACTTTTTTGTAAAAATATTCTCTTCCGCAGCTTATTTGCTTTTGTAAGTCGAGCTGGTATAGGAGCTAATGCACAGCATATGAAACAGAAAAGGATGCATAAATAATAAAGTCCATTATATGATTTTAAATCATTCCTGAAGAAACCTAAAATAAAAATATGAAATTAGAGGGTAAAAAAACTAAAATAACAAGTCAATATGGATGGTTGACTGAATGTAAACAATAACATGCTTTCTAAAACCGGAAGAAATTCAAAAAACTTTCAGTGTATCCCTCCGCTTATACTATTCTTACGAGGCGTTGCGTGAACAGGCTTAATATTCTAGGAAGTTTTATTATTGTGATTTAAGTTTCAATTTACTCTTAATTTTACCATTTATAAGAATTTACTATAGTTTATAAATTCTAGCAGGTCGTGAGCCTAAAACAAATTTAATAAAATTAATATCACGGCATAAATAAAGTGTAAGGTTTGCCATGTTTTGAGTGTTAAGTTTATAAATTCTAGCAGGTCGTGAGCCTAAAACAAATTTAATAAAATTAATATCACGGCATAAATAAAGTGAAAGGTTTGCCATGTTTTGAGTGTTAAGTTTATAAATTCTAGCAGGTCGTGAGTCTGAAACAAATGTAATAATATTAATATCACAGCATAAATAAAGTGTAAGTTTTGTCATGATTTGAGTGTTAAGTTTATAAATTCTAGCAGGTCGTCAGCCTAAAACAAATTGAATAAAATTAATATCACAGTATAAATAAAGTGTAAGGTTTGCCATGTTTTGAGTGTTATCCCTTATTTGGCTATAATTCTAAAAAATAGTGCCGTTTGTTTTTATTTTGAGTTAGCATCATGTCAAGCTTGCGGAGTCTTCCAAATTCATTTGTTGTTTGGTTCGTTGAAAATTAAATTGAAAGAACGAGACCCTAAAAAATGCCTATTCTATAGCGTTGAAACCTGGTCAATTATTATTAAATAATAATAAAATCTCAATAAATAAGAATTATAAGCATTTTTGTTGATAAAAATGTTGATAAAATGACAGTAAACAATTATATTTTTTATTTTATTTTATAATCAGCGTTGAACAGCCTACCCAATTCTGAGTTTAGGGCTAGCAATGTTCAACTCCGCAGTTTTGTAATTTTGAACCCAATCCCGAAGACAAGAAAACACTTAGATCAAGCATTCAGCAAACTAGCCCTCCTGGAGGATTTTTTAAAGAGACTAAGCCACATTTGCGCTGCGTGGTGAGGAAGACCGCAAAAGCCTCACATGGTTAGCCCGGTAACAAGGGGATTCTAACTCATGATCCGTCTATCACTGAGGACATTTTACCTTATATCTGCCAGCACACAGAGTTCAAAATACAGGGTGATTCGTAACGAAGTATATAATTTCAATACTCTATAAATGAAGAGCAATGTAATCTGCACCTTTTAGTCACACGTCACACATCTAGCCGGTAATCGATTCCCCCCCCCCCCTTTAACACGTGTTAAGATATCTGACTCAAATCCATTGATAATGACTGTGATACGATGTTTCAACTCCGCTAGATAAACAGGAAGGAGAGAAACTAATATCTTATATTTTACAGTCAGTCTATGGAAAGAACTCCCCTCACTATTCGTCTGGAGCAGTAGCGGTGACTATGGTTACGAGGTTTAACTATTTCAAGTTGGGGTGATAGGTCAATATTTAAGACACGTTTTGACTCGGGTCCCTAAGGGAATCAGGGAAGAGAAAAACTCTCCTCTTTGAAATGCTCTTTTTCTTGTTTCCATAGCAGCAGATGGCCTTAGACTTTGTGGTAAGGGAAGTTTTTCCATAGACAAACTGTACATAACCCTGCATGTGGAAATCACAAGGTGATAAGGGTTAGGTTAGAACTTTTGAATTGCCATAAGGTAAGTGGCTTGTCGAAGTCAACTGCTCTCCCAATCCACCGGTGAAGGAGATATTTCATCAAGGTAATCTCACATGTAGGCTAAATAGTGTGATTTTTCACCATCCAATTGGAGAATGAAGTTGCCTGTGTCATCCTGCAACTGTAGACTTAAATATCAGCCAAGTAGTTTGCATATTCAAAAAAACATCTCCCGTGACAGTTTAGTCTTGAAAAAAGAAATTGCCGAACACTTTCTTTCTGGACATTGCACAGAACAGATTTACCTTAGGGAAAACTCTCACATGTTGATCTGGGAATTAGCCATTCTTCGTTTCTCGAAATAAAGCATTTCGCTTGTTTACCTTTTCACTGACGTGGAATGTCGCATCATTAGTGAAAACTAAGCGGAATTCATCACTATCGATGGATTTGATTCTGATACCTTAAGATGCGTTAGGGCGCAAATGCATTACCGGCTGTGTGTTGTGTGACAAAGGGGTCACAAAAAACCATTTGCGACTGTCTCTAACAAGACTTAAAATAATCCCATGCACTTTTCTTGTAGGTAAAAAATAACATATTACATTGTTCTTGATTTATAGTGCATTGAAACTATGCTTCTTAATCAATTACTCTGTATAATTTCGTTTCATTATGACTTTTGAAAAACTTTTTTTACTTACCTATTAATTGAGGTGAGGCAAAACTAACTGGAGCAAATAGAATACCTTTGCAAGACATGCCCATAATATGATCCTTTTTATCTAAAACATCGAACATTTGCCCTGCTATAATGGCTATGAGTGCTCCTGTTCCATAGGAAAAGAACAAAGTTCCTATTAAGAGCTCTGTAAAATTACTTGACAGTATCATTCCTAAAACAGTTATAGCTATATAGGAGTTTGCGACAACCACAAATGAACTGTATGTCATATAGCCTTTATCCACTATCCATACCAGGGAAACACGACCCAGCATGTCAAACAAAGGAGGAAATGTCACAAGATATATTACGTATTCGCTCGGTACTCCTTTATCTCTGGAGTAATCAATTAAAGTAGTGAAAACTATTGAGGTAACAAAGTGTTCAAGTGTTATAAGTGTGGATATACACCAGAAGGTAGAATTCTTAAAAATTCTCATAGTTCTCCAGAAATATATTGTATGGTTTTTACTTGTATCTGTTGGTGTAGAAATTTGTTTTGAATTATCTCTCAAGCCTTTCGCAGAAAAACTTGAAGATGTATATATTTTTAATTGCTTATTTTCATCACTATTATCATGTGAAATATGTTCTTCTACAAATTCTAATGCATTGCTTGTTTCACCATTATCTCGCAAAATCGATTCTTCTTTAAACGCTGAACTATTGCTTGCTTGACGATTATCAGGCAAAATGGTTTCTTCTGTAAATTCTAATGATTTGCTTGTTCCATCATGTAAAAGAGATTCTTTTGTAAATTCTAATGAATTGCTTGTTTCCCCGTTATCTTGAAAAATGGATTCTTCAATAAATTCTAAACTACAGCGTATTTGACGATTATCAGGTAAAATGGTTTCTTCTGTAAATTCTAATGTTTTGCTTGTTTCATCATGTATAATTGATTCTTTTGTAAATTCTAATGTATTGCTTGTTTTACAAGTATCGTGCAAAATGGATTCTTTTGTAAATTCTAATGTATTGAATGATTCGCGTTTCTCAATTCTGTCACTACTTGAGCTTTCCTTTTTCAAACTACTTTGAAGGCTCAAATTTCGATCATCTTTCAGCACAGTACATTCACTTCTCTTTGTTGAAAATTCTTGTGAGTTACGCGTCTCATGAAATAATGTTGCACATTTGAGTTTTAGATCAGTTCTCATTACCAACAAGATTAATGGGAGTCCATTTAACAAAATGCCGGATATAATAAGGCATGTCCCGGACGTTCCATACTCATTAAGTAAATAAATGGCAATTGGAGGAAAAATGAAACCACTAATGCAAGATCCGGCTTTATAAATATCGTTAGCAGTGTTAAAGTTTTCGTTGAAGTGTTTTTGAATAATATTTGAAATTAAAGTTGAGCTGAGTGATTGTCCAGTGCCTGAAATAATAAATTTAATTATTGAACAATGAAAGGAACATTTCTTTAAATACATATGTCATAAAAAAAACTTAAATACTTGCATTTGTTTGAGTTCATCGCAGAATTTATTTTTAAAAAAATGCAAATTGATAAAAAGTTTACTCTATGATCACATTTTGACTGGCCTATTATGGGCCTAAAGCTTTTTTTTGTGAAAGACACAAGTTATTTATAAACTATAAGGGTTAGTTCTCTCGAAATCATCATTAAAACTTTTATTTTTTTCTGACAGTACATGTACATTTTTATTCGATTCGATTTTTTATTCGATACATTCAATTTTTGGGTTAGGTTATTATGAATATTTCGAGTTAGATTTTAAGACGTTATATTTCATACGGAATATTTTTATAGTAGATTTTTGGATAGCAGATTTTGAGTGTAAAAGCTAAGTTTTATTGTATTTATTTATGCTTTTCTAAAAAAAATTCTAAAATTTACGTTTTTACCCCCTAACCTTAGGCCCCTTTTAGGAGATCTAAATGTTTTTCAATTTCGACTAAAAACATTTTTGGCAAATATTAAACTGATAGGTACAATATTAGTATTAGTATTTGTATTACATAGTATTAGTATTTGTATTACATAGTATTAGTATTTGTATTACATAATAAACATAGAACATGAATAGTATTAGCGTTATGGATAGGTACATAGGCAAAATGAACACAGTTACTACTTTTTTGGCTTGAAATGTGAATTTTCGAGAAAGAATTTTTGTTATAGTCATGCATTTTAATATTCAGACAGTTTGTAATCTTGATTTCCTGATTTACAAAATAAAAGTTTTATAATTAAAGTAAAAATTTTTTTCACTAAATAGTGTTTCGTTATAATCAGTAAAGAAAGTTTATTTGAAAAATTTATATTTCTAATTGAATGTTTAAAGTAAACTAATTTGAAAGCAGGTAAAATCCCTCTTAAATCAGTCACGCCATTACTATATGACCATTATTACCATTACTATTCCGAATTGCCGAAAAATGTCTATGCTATTTTACTGATACTTTAACATAGGGAATAGCAGCTTCAGGCTATTCCTCGAAACCTCTGTCATTTAATAAAATAGTTTAGCTAGTTGTTTTTATAACTTTTATGAGTTTGTAACAGTTGTTATTGTCTGTTATGTTTCGTTAGTATATATTAACTAGAGTTCGCAATTCTAATTAGGAAAATAACGCAAAATGCCAATATGAAGGAAAATCAAAGTTATTCTCCAACCATGCACTTTCTAGGCCCATAAATATTCACGAAAATTAAAAGTTGTTAATTTATTTTAATGATTATTGTCTAGGTTGGAAATCTTGCCAAATAGTTGATTTTTCAAAAAAGTTTCATATCTTTTCTTTTAAAAATTAAAGCTATTTATCCATTTTAAAGTTCAGATAATTCTTTACTATAAGGTAATGTATATTTACCATATTCCCGACCGTGTTTCTTGTTCTCTACGGTAGGGGGCAGTATTAGTATAGGTTGTTTCAACTTCCGGTAAAAGATTCTGGTCGAAGAATTTCTGCTGGTTAAAGTAAATTGCGTTAATCCGCATCTCAACGATCAGTTTTCCAAAATATATTTTTCACCCGCAGGTTGTCGGACTACCGAAGCGGGGGTGCCATCCCCTCCGCAGAGGATCAAAATTGTGATGGCATGTCTTCGGATCATCCTTCGGAATGTTTCCCAGACCGTCGCCAATAGACCATTGTGCAGCTCTAGTGCGACGTAAATTAACAACAACAAAATATTTTTTTTCTTCATATCTTCATGTTATATTTTAAAATATGAACAACTGAGAAGAACAACTGAGTATTCCGAGTATATGCGAACAAACCGGAACGTCAAAAAAAGAAATAGTCGCGTCAATGCTATGAGGTCAGAAGTGGGCCCCAAGACTTCCGGTAGGGTTTTTTTTTTTTTTTTTTTTAGGATAGGATTTAAAGTTTATTACGGCTGGTTATCAAGAGGAAAATAAAAAAGTTTTTTTTTTAAACTATAAGTATTATTTTAAATTCTTACCGTGAACAATGCCTATAAAAAAAGTAACAACCATAATATCTTCAGCAAAAAACGTTGCACCAAATCCTATTGAGGATATTAGACATCCAATTAATGTAGTTCGCTCCGGGCCAAACTTCTGGCCTAGCCAGCCTATGAAGGGACCTGAAAAAAAATTTTAATTTTAATTTTAGTTTCATAATATAAGACCCTAACATAAAAAAAAGTTAAGGTAATAACAACGGTAGTAAAGCATTTTTATTAATTGCAAACATGAGAGTTGAGAAGGAAAACTTGTTAATTACTTTCTACTCAAGCGCCAAACCTATTCGAGCATTTATTGGAAAGAAGGACCAACTTTCCAAAAAGCATGTACCGTTATGGAAACCTTGGGTCAGAATTTTCATTTTATTGTCACAAAAATGTTTGCACTAAAAACCTTTTTTCAATAAAGCAAAAATATTGCAGTTTCAAACCTTTCATCTAAAAAGGGTTAAAAATTATTTTTAAAGTTTTTTTAAAAAAAGTACTGTCACTTTAAAATGGTAACTTAGGTCCATATTGACATTTGAGTTGACGTAAAGCTAGCGATAGGATCAAATTGCATTGTCCATTAAAATTTCATGACAAGGTGGATTTTAGCTGAGCATACAAGACGTTACGAAAAGAAACCTTATAATTATCTAAATTAAAGGTTATTTTCACCTTAAGACTAGCTTTATTCAAGTATTTCTTTTCACGTTTGATAACCCTAAGACAACCTCGATTTAAGGTTTTTATAAAGAAGGTTGTTTTCCAAAGTTCTGGATTAGGACAATGTGCGTAGAATAGAGCAGATTGTCAAAGATCTCATTTTAAGATTAAAAGGTTTACACGTAAATCGTATAAAAACCTTTTTAGGTTTACATTAAAAGGCTTTTGCTGAGAGAAAATAAGCTTTATTTTGCTATCTGGGTATAGTTGAAAGTCTTAATCGAAATCTCTTTCAAACTCATTGATTCAGTTATAGGCTGTTGTTTTTGCAACATTGTCTAAAGAAAACCTTGTTCAAGACAAATTTTCTTTCAACGTCGACAATAGTCACTTGATGCTATATCTTGGCTATAGAAGAATGGATCCAGACTTAATACTTAAGGTTTTTCAGCATTGGGCTGAGTTTCACGAGCATTATGAGGTCTGCCAGTGACATGCAAGAGTAAGACATTTATCACTTAATATCCCAGTGCATTTCTTTGCGCACGAGAAACATATTGCTGCAGACCTTTTTTTCTAAACCTCTTGCCACACTGGCTGTTCACACATTGGCTGTCAAACAAAGAGAGCCATCTTTCTTCATTGATAATATGTTTGTGTCGATCCTTTTAAAGCTAATGGTAGCGTAAGGTAAGGTACACCTAAAGCATTCAAAACAATACAAAAGCGTGGATTCTGTATTGTTTTGAAGAATGCATTCCAAACGAAATATTATAATATCTGGTTGAGATTACAATTCTAATCCTATAGGATGTAAAACATAAATTTATTGGGATCTGGAACTAACATTTGAAAATCATAAAATTATCTCCTGACATGCTTGATAATTAGAAACTCGAAAATTTAAAAACATGGTGTAAGGTATGGGCTCTCAGCTGTTTTAAAACTTAAAATGGCTACCGAGATGTTACAAAACGCTCAAGATTCCATGTGGGGAGTCTACAAAAATGAACACTGTTTTGATTAGCAATTTAACCTTATAATAATACTGTGTTAAAGAAGCCTTATTTTTAAAGTTTGATTTCTCAGGAACTATTCAACCGATTTCGATCAATTTTTGAATTTAGCCATGTAAAACTACATCCTTTAAAATAGTGTAAAAAATTTTATAGTTTGCAATTCAAAAATTTTAGAATGTTATTAATTAAAATAATAATAAATATTTACTAAAAGTTATATTTTGCATGGAATTATCTTTGGATAAACGAATTTTATAATTATGAGCAAAAATATTTTAATTTGATATAAAAGTTCTCGTGATATGGCGAAATACGCAAAAAGGAAAATAAACATTAAGGGTCCAAACTTTGGACTGCTCTCCTGACCAAACTATAGTGACCATATTTCCCATTTTGCGGCTACCCCCTATATTTTGAGGGTCAGAAATCCGAATCATTCGAAAAAAAGGTAGATGTATTCAAAGAAAGAACATTTTTGTGTCTGATTCCGTAACTTAGAATATTGTCTACTCAAATTAATTAGCATATTTGAAGTCACCTTCTTGAATCATTAAGCATGAGTCCTAGAACCTGAAGATCCGATTATTGAATCAATACTTATTCAGGGTGGTTCGTTTTTTATTTTACGCACTGTACATGTAGAAGTCAGAAAGTAGATTGCTAATTACTTAAACTAGATTTTAATTTTTGTGGTCATCTTATGAGTGTGCACATTTTATTATTAATCTATAATATTTAAGATAAAAATTGCATCACTTACCTAATATGCTATTGATTAAATACATCGTGAAAATGGGTATAGCTGCTTTGTCTCTCTCCGTCTCATATCGGTCTATAAAGGAAACATAAAGCAAACCAAATAATCTGTATGGACATTGTACTATGCAACTGATTAAGCTACATTCTAAAGCTACAATCCATTTTCTGCTGTTTTCCATGCCTTCTTTCTATAACATGAGAAAAAGGCTTAATCCAAATGTTTTATGATACAAAGGATGTTCCGTAGTGGTCACCTTAATGTATATACATATAGAAACTTTTTCCGAAAAGGAAGACCAAAAAAAAATATAAGAGATGGGGTTCATGACATTATGGTCCCGCCGTTTCGGTCTCGTTGCCGTTACGGTTCCTTTGTCATTTTGGTCCCTTTCCCGATTCAGTCCCTTGTTCTTTCAATTCGTCTATTTTGATGTCCCATTTCTTACTTTTTTAAATTACAGTGGTAATGTTTCAATGGCCCTAATCATAATTTGAGTAATGAAATTAATTATTATGTAATGATGTATTATGATTGTGAAATTTGGAAAACAAATAAATAAATAAATAACGATCGCTATGCTAACTACCTTCATTTTTGTTTCTCCTGTTAGCAGCCAAAAATTAATAAAGTAGCAATAAAGATCATTGCGATTACATTAGAACGTTTTGCAAATTGGGTAATTTTTTTAAAATTTATATACAACGGAACTGAAACAACAACGGGGGCCGAAAAGGCAACAGGACCGAAACCCTCTGCTTCAGCGCATTGTAGGCTCAAATTATTATTTTTGAGGAAAAACAAACAAGCTCTATCGAAGTCTGACAAATGACTGTCGTAGGAGATAAATGTAGAAAGCATCAAAACATGTTTGATTGCCTCTTATCCTTCAACTGCTTCCGGTTTCTTCTGACAATTTAACAAATTTTGATGTTTATCACATCTGTCTTCTTCAATAGTCAGACTTTGATAGCGTTTTCTTATTTCTCACTTAAATATTACTTTAAAATCTCTAACGTTTATTTATTTATTTTTTTTAATTTTGACAATAATTCTAAAAATATATAATAAGAGTTGTTATTGAGGAACAATTTGCGTCATAAAAACATTTGTAACAATTGGATACTTTCAAGCGACGTCATGCGTGGGTAAGCCAATCAGGTTCGACACACGTGTGACGTCGTTTGCGGGTATCCAATTAAATATGATCCGAAAACTGATTCAGCGTGATAATTAACCGAATCCTTAAAACTGTAACTATACTTAATATTGAGTTGTTTTAGAAAATGTTCAATGTTCCTCTGTCCGATTTCGTAATTTAAAGTACCGCCTACAAAAATTAGTTAGATCACCAAAGTAAGATTCTTTAAACTTTCAGATTGTTTAGCACTTGAAAATACGATTACTAAATCGAAAATTAAATAGGGTACTCTGTTTTTTTATTTTGCGTACTGTACATCTAAAACGTCAAGGGCTTCAATCCCAAGATGCCCTAATAACCTCCCTTTAATTTTTAGTTCATTTCCTGGTTCTTGTCCACTCTGTTTGTGCTTACGATATAGTTTCCATCACTGTTCGATTTTGTTACCTTTAGAATGAATTATTATAAATTATTAAGTTAGGCGTAGCTTAGCCGCATCTAGCGTCTGTTAATTACACAATGTGGTCACTCCGATGTGGTTTAAGAGAGTTACTCCTAAACTTCTTTAACAAAAAATGACGCTGTTATTATTTTACTTTTTCAAACAAATAATGCAAATCTTATAGACTCATTTTGTACTTAATAAGATGAAAAAAAGTGGTAAAAGTGATCTATATATGAAAACCACCCGTTTTAAAAAAGTGGTAGTGCATATTTATTTGTACAAAGAAAAAAAAATTCTGTTGTTGATCACGTGTTAGCTTTAAAAAAACTACTGAGCCTTGACATCACATCCAAAAATAACTCTTTGCATAAATTATATATTATGGTATATATTACAAAATATACATCATGCATAAATTATATATTATGATATATATTATAAATTATGGTAGGCTTTGTCTTCAAATCTAAATGTAACTCTTTGCTTGAATTATATATTATGCATAAATTATCTATTATGATAGGCTTTGACTTCAAATCCAAGCATTTCCAAATATAAGCCATAACATAAATTATATTTTATGGTAAGCAGAACTATCCTGTCTCTGCAAAATAAATCCTAATGAAACACTTGTATGACAATTTCTTTTTTATTTTTCGATATAAGGAAACGTCCATTTCCGTTAAACGGATTTACTTTTTAAAGGACACTAATTAAATATGGTTTATATAGAAATTGTTATTCAGATGTAAAATATATGAATCATTCTAAGCCATCTAGATTTGATGATTTTTTTCTACTTTAAATTAAATTTAATATAGCTTCTGTTACGCATAAAAGACTTAACATGCAAATTCTACTCTGCTCTGCGTTTCTCACAGAAATAAGAAATAATTTCTATAAAAAGTAAACAGAATCATAACAAACGCCCGTAACATCAATTTTTTTTTTTAGAATGCTTGTCAAAAAGGAAATAAAAATGTATACACACTAAGTTTCATAAATTACTATTTAAATAATTACGTAACAAAAACGCTGTTGAACTTTATCAAACTATAAGTGAAAAAAACGTGGTGGAAAACATCAAAACCATATTTATTACCTGCTGAAATTTAAAGTGTTTTTTTTTTAATTTTTTTATTATTTTTTTATTAGGAATGACTTTCTAACTCATTTGTTCCAACCGGCAAGCAAACAGGTTTAGATATTTTTATTGCCCTAAATAATAATTTCAGAACAGCCGTTCAACAGCTGACCCAATTTTTGGGTTCACGACTACGAATGTTCAACTCCACAGCCTTGTAATTTGAAACCCAATCCAGGAGACAAGAAAATTTCTGGATCAAAAATTGGGAGAAATTTGCCTTCCTGGAGGTCTTTTTATAGGAACTAATTCGCATTTGCGTTACATGGAGAGAAAAACCACGAAAACCTCCCACGGTTAGACTGTCAGCAAGGGGATTCATGATCCGTCTACCACTGAGGATATTTTACGTCAGCACTGTGGTCGGTGAGAGCCGGGTGTGGAATTCGCATTGACCAGCCGTCGCTGAGATTCGAACTCGGTTCACCTCATTGGAAGGCGAACCCTCTATCTCCAGAGCCACCACGGTTCTTGAATAATAATTTGTAACTCCGAATGTGCATACATTTCTTTGCTTCATTTTTGACAAGATTTCTAATAATGTATTTTTAAGTGCAGTCTTCACGGAACGCCCATTTCACATGTAAACATTTACTAGTTAAATTATCCTCTGTTAAATTTCGCTCAAGATTCATGATTTTTAAAAAAACAAAGAAAAAATATTCAAAACCTTTTGCTGTAAAAAGTGACTTCCTTAAAATAATAAGTTAAATCGAAACACTATAAAACGAAGCAAATTTTAAAAAAGAAAATTAATTTGTTAAAAAAATTTATTTGTTAAAAAAATTAATTTAAAAAATTTAATTAATTTTTTAAAAGTAACAAGAAATTTATTGCTACATTAGATTTTCTTTTACTTATTTTCAATGTGCTATGCTTAATATTTTTTCATTTAATTATTTCAATCTCATGTGTTGTTTTTCTCTGTGACGAATAAATGCATTATTTAGTAACATTATTTCAAGAAAACTGACCGCGTTATAGAGTAAATAATTGATATATATTTCGTAAAATCAAATTAAGAAACTTACTTTTATTTTGCCTTTTCCATAAAATAGTTTGGTTACCTAATTTTACATAGCATTTGTATTAACATTGAAGAGCGAATTTATCCTTTTGTTCTAAAAACATGACCCATTTAAATTTTTAACCAGTGAAAGATTTTTAACCTTATTTTTCTTCTTGTTTTTTCGCTCCAAATCACAGCTTAAATCAGTTCATATTTAACGTAATGACTATGGCTTTTCAATATCAATTTTTCGCAGTGTAATGCTTCATTATAAATTATATTGCAAATATCTTCAATTTGCATTCGAATCTTGTCGTTCAAATTTTTTGCAGTGTAATACTTTATTTTGATCTGAATTTTTTTTTTCCAATCATCTTTAACCTTCAATAATTCTAAAAGTAAAAAAAGTTTAAGTGAGAAACAAAATGAATGAAAAAATAATAATTTAGTATCAAATATTTTCTTTTTTTTCTAACCTCCTCTTCTTCAAGGAAATTCGTTTACAAAGTTCAGGAAATTGATAAAACTCCTACTTTCTTGATTATTTAATTATGTGAGTCATCGCTGTCGTGAACCAATCACTACAAAGATCAATCCAGAAAGGATTGTACTAATAGTTTATAAATTGTACGTGTTTTATGAACAAATAGTACAATTTTGTCCTAGTACCTGTTTATGAATCTAATACTGCTATCTAAACAAGTTTCCAAAGTATTTTTCAAGTCGAATCGAATGAGACTTTTGTACGTACTTCACATTGCTATCCGAAGAATATCTGGAACATGTAAGATATATTTTCCGATTCATTTTTTAATGGTTAATTGGAATCGATCTGGTAAATAATTAAGAAGTTATATATAAGGGTTATTTTGTATACATGATCCCCCATGGAAACTCTCTAAATGCTTACCCAAGAATACAACTATCAACACCAATCTCATTGTCCCATGCTCCAAAAAGGAATTAACATTAGTTATCTTTAAAAAGGGCATGCAAACAATCAATGCAATGTCGGAAAGTAGCATTGTCCACGCATTTACTGAAGGCTCAGCTGACGAAACTATTCAAAAAAGGCGCAACCATAAACCATTCTTTGGGCACTGGTTCCATCGCTTCAAATTTCATCAGTGAACTCAGAGCAATATATAATGCATTGCGTGAATACAGCTTACTCAACAACACTGACAAATGACTCCAAAGCTGCCTTAGAAGCATTAAATAAAGGTCAATCAAGGCTAACACATGATATCCAACACCAAATGGAAGAAATTGACAAACTAAACAGGATATGTATTCTGCAATGGATGACCGCGCATGTCGGCATCCCTGGAAACGAAGAGGCAGATCAACTTGCCAAGGAAGGGAGAAATCTCAATAATAAAAATATCGTCAAGGTCTCTCTTGACGATGTTAATGCGATCGCAAGGTTCCGTCTGAGAGAAAACACCATTAAAAAAGACTCTCAAATTTGTGAAATAAATGCAAATAGAGACCTTACCAAAACTATCATCCGCCTTAGAACTTATCACTATCGAGGTATGAAGATCCTGGGAGATGGCAATAGTAGAACCTACCTTCTCTGCAGCAACTGTGATGATATTCCACTAACACCAAAACATATTTTTGACTGCCCTGCGATTTTAAGATCCCTGACTCAGCTTGAAAAATTCTCCCCCTTTGATATCGAGAGTCTGTACTCCGACAACATCAAGGAGTTAGCCGGCAGTGTTTTGCACACTCATGTATATCTATAGTTCTCCCCATGGATACAACACCAACCAACCCTTTTGTATACAGAAAGTACGAAATATTGTAAATGTACTTATTTAAGCACCTTACGTTTGTTTTACAGACAAAAAGGTTTGGTTTTATATGTATTTTTTTTTTTTTTTTTTTTTTTTTTTTTTTTTTTTTTTNTTTTTTTTGCTTTATCTTATTTGACCAAACATAAATTAAAATTAGGACTTACATCTCAGAAGTTGAAATGAAGTTTGTTTTATAAAAAAGTATTATTTTTGAATTGCACTTATTATGCAGAAAACACGTATAACTTTTTAACTATTAGTCTGATAGTCTCGAAATTAGTCACATTTAATTTAGCTTAAAAAATTACATCGGAATATTTGCATGTTCAGATAGCATTTGCATATCAGTGCAAAGTATATATAAGCACATAGCAAATTAGTCCTTCTTTTCAGAGGGGTAAATAGTTATAAGTACAAATTTGTTCTTTTCGTACATAAAACGCTTATAACTTCTGAACTATTAGCTCGATCCTCTGTAGATTGGTTTCATTCAATTCAGTGTGAAAAAATATATCTGAAACAATACCTCACTTGCTTGTCTAGAAGAATTTAAATTTTCACCCACAAATCACACCCTTTTTTTCCAACAAAAGTACAGAAGAGAGAAGGGAATTCAGGAATCATTTATTATATAGCTTTCTGACAAGAAATATGTCCCACAGTGAATTGATCGTTAAGACGTGGTTCCCAGCAGATCACCGAAGTCAAACATCACTGGCTGCGATCAGTGCGTGGGTGGATGACCACTTGGATCAGACTGCGTAAGGACCAAGGGTGTGTGGTTTTGGTTTTCGTTAAATGTTCTACCGTAAAGTGCTCAACTTCACGTGCAGGTCGTTGGGCTACCGAAGCGGAGATGCCGTCCCCTCTGCAGAGGATCAAAATTGTGATGGCATGCCTTCGGATCATCCTCAGGGATGTTTCCCAGACCGGAGCCAATAGCCCATTGCGCAGCTCTAGTGTGGCGTAAATGATCTACAACAACAACTGACAAGAAATATATTAAGAATAAATATTTCCAAAGACCCACCTCGAAACCTCAGGAAATTGGGCTCATGACGAATTGTCACTTCAACGAGTTTTGCAAGCCACAAATTAAGCCCAAGACGAATTATCATTGTAACGAGCTGTGCCCATGACAAATAATTGTCGAGAAAAATTGTGTCCACGATAATGCTTCGAGGCGAAGAGCTGTGCTCATAAAGAATTGTCGTCCCCTAACAAATTGTGCACAACCTATTGACGCCACGACGAATTGATCCAAAATAAAAAATAAATAACTAAATAAAAATTTTGAAAAAATTGCAGGCAGTGAGAATGGTCCTTTAATGGAGTTTCTACTCTCGTCTTGTAGGGCAATGGAATCGGGTACAGTTTGAAGGTTTTTTTTCGCATATCGGGATAATACGAATACCCATAGTTCGCATATTCGACTCGTCACAACTTCGCATGCACAATTGAATTTCTCTTATGCAGTGAGAACCGTCCATACACATTGAAGCACCCAATTTGTTGATTAAAAAGTAAGCTAAAAGCAAGTCTTTAATAAAAGTGTAAAGTTTTAAATGAATCTCCATATCATCGTTTTATGTACGAAAACTATGCATCACAGCTTCGTTTCAATCAGTTTTTCCAGTTTTTAATATTTGTTTCACTTTCAAATATTATTTTTGTAGTTTAAAATATTTTCCAGTTTAAACAGTTGAAACTCTTAAACATTTTCGAGTCAATATCATTCCGCAAATTAATGCCATTTCTATGCTTTAAAATTTGATAGCAAATCTTATTTTATGTCAATTATTTATTGTACACCCATCACAACTTCTTAGTTGTGCTAAGTATATTCTTCAAAGTCCCTAACAATAAAGTATAAATGTCGTTGGAGTAGTTTATCAAGGTATGTTTTATTTTTGCTTTTTGTTACCAACAAAGTTGCTGCTTATTTGTCATAATAAATTTTTTTAGCCCTCATTATTGAAATCTCTACAAAATAAGTCTCAAGTGATTATTTAATCAATTTAAATTTCTTATGAAGAATTAAACTCTTTTTCCGAATTGTGAATGAGGGGTAGTAAGAATTAACTGAACATTAATTCGATAAAACGTATGATACAAAAAAATTAATGCATGTTTAAATTATTTTATTTAGAAGTTGTTGAATTACTAATGTAATTTTAAATTATGTACATTATTTTGTAGGGGCATTTAAGTTTTGGGTCAATTTATATTTAAAATTCTGAAGCTTTCTTGACAAGTTCCTATGTCAAGAAAGTACTTTAATTTTAGTATTTTTGGTTAGTCAGGCTCAAGGAAATGTATAATTTTTTTGAGATTTGTGAAGTGATTAAAAAAGTAAATAAAATGAAATTAAATAAAAAAGTTGGGGCAGTGCTCTTTATATTTTTGTCAACTTTTCGCTTGTGCTCAGATAACCCAAAAGTACCTTTAAATTGTTATAAAATTAGTTTTATCTGTTTTATTTTTCAGAAAGGCCATAATGGAGGTTCACGAAAATTTGCGGAAACAACGAATAGCTCTTCTCAATCATGCTCATATTGAAGTAATATTAAATTTTTTTTACCTTTTTTTAAATGAATTTTTAAAATGGATTTGTTTATGACTTTCAAATCACGGAAACTTCAAACTTTATTCATTAATAGAAGCTCTATAAATTTAGCATTTTTGCTAGCCATCCATTTTAAAAGGGTGCTTTTCTATGTAAGATGTGATATTAAAAATTAATGTTTGTATAAATAAATCCAAAGTTTTGTGTGTGTAAGTCTTAAAGAATAAATGTTCTTTTTTTATTTTCAAATAAAAAATATTTTTAACATTTATGTTAAAATTATCTAACATTATTGTCTTATGAATCAATAAACAATGTACATATACCACTTTTACATAGTCAAACTATTTCTTGATTTTGTGCCTTTTTATTTAGAATATTAAAATATGTTCGTTGTTATTCTTGTGGGTATCAAATACTTTTTCTTAAATAGCTCTATTTTTTTTAAAAATGTGTTTAGCTATACAATAACTACAAACATTTTTGTTTAATTAAAAAAAATATACATCTATTATGCTTTAAAAAATTAACTTACTATCATTTTGTAAGATATATTCTGATTGTTTGTAATTAATTTTTTTTTTTATTTTGCTACCATATTATAAAAATGTCTCACATAAAAACTTTTGAGACATTTTTATCCTCTCAAAGTCATTTACAATATTTAGTGTAAAATATTTTAAGAAGCCCATATAAGAGAAAATAAATGTAAAGTAAAAACTTTAAAGCATTTTGTGTATTAAAAGTATTTTTTATAGAACTAAAACTTTTAAATTTTCTTGTGGCACTTGAATATCTATCAAATACTAAATATAAAATTAAAATTATCTTTAATTAGTAGCGGTTTCCACACCTGCTTGTCGCTCACCAAATCTGAAATAACTTCCATGCTTTCTTTTAAATCACTTCATCATCTGAGCTGGCTCAGTTTGTTCTCCAGATTCTAAAACCTATAGTAGTCTAGTACTTTTGTTTCAGCAATGTCCTTCTGCATAGGCTTAAACACATGGCATTTTGAAAGTACTCAGACAACAAACATGTCCTAAGTTATTGACCAAAGTAGTACATGCAATAGTTAAGATCTTAAAATAAATATAGATTATTTTTATATAGAAATGTATCAAACTTACTAAATAAAAAACTTATAAACTTATTGATTTTCGCTAAAGGAAAAAAAAATTGAATTTCTTGAATTCAAAACAAAGAAACTTATCTGAATTATATACTTACATCATGCTGATATATGCTTTAACAATTAACACATCATTGGTATCAAAAATTATTATTTATCACAAGTTAAACCAAGGCTAAAGGCCAGTTAGCTTTTTGCACCAACCAAGGTTGACTCAGCCTTTACGAAGCAGACTTGAGGACTCAACACTGGAGGTTACATGTTCGGTTGACCACCTAACCGAAACACCTGCTTCTACACCCCATTGCGAAAAGTCAAAAAAACTACCATGGGCAAAATCGGCATTGGTGCTCCACTGAATTTTGTTTAGTTAACAAAGGCTGAACTTAATTGCAACATTTTGTGCACTAATGTAGTTCATCCTTGGTTTATCAAATACCTTTGTTTGCCAACAAGTAAATAAAAAATAAATTATTGAATACTTTAAAATTTCAGCTCGTACTAAATGTTATGCATTGAATCGACAGAAAATTTTACATTATGAATTAGTAAAGACAATTTTTCTTCATTGATTTTTTTTTAATTCAGGAATATAATACTTTTAAAATGAATATTCCAAGTAATAAAATATATGTATGCTTACCTCTTAGTTGTTTTAATGAAAGAGAAAGATAACAATTCAATTTTAGGCACATTTTAGTTGAAAGAATGTATCAAAATATTGAAGAAAACTAGATTACTCTCATGTCCTGATCCTTGAACTTCATTTATTAGGTTATTGCTGCATATTACACTGCTTATCAACATAAGTTATTTAAGTTTTCTTTTTCTGTACAAAAGTGTCTTTGTGGTTACTAGCAAAAAATAAATTCATATATATATGTATCATTACATACATATATATATATATATATATATGTAGACTAGCTNAAATGTAAATATATATACAGGATTATTCATAATTCCCTCCGGGCATGAACTGGCTGGACTATCACATTGATGTATGCAGTGTGACCAAGGGTTCACACATAGAACACCTGTAATGTATGTAAGTAAAACTTGAATAATTTCAAATGTTTCTTTTTTTCATATTCATCTTCTTTTTTTTACTATAACGCTTCGAAACCCCGGAGGGAATTATGAATAACCCTGTATAATATATATATATAAAATCTTTGATTCATTGATATCTAATAGACATGATAATAACTCATAATTTATGCTTGCAGTTTATGTGTACATTGAAATACTTTCTGTAGTAATGTTTCACATTATTACTTTTTTTATAGGCAATGAAACAAATTGTTGAAAAGCAACAACCCTTTAAACCCACTGTCAGTGGTGCTGTTTCATTTCGAGAATTGGCTAAATCGAAAATGGAGGAATCTGAATTTACAGAACTAATGTCAATCATGTATCATTACAAGGATACAAACAGGTTCTTAAATTATAGATTTATTAATATTATTTTCATTATCCAATACCAATTATGCTAATGTGTAATTATGTGAGTCTATTTGCTAATATTTTCCCCAATATTATGTGCTGAACTTGCCATCAAGAAAAAGCCATTTCATTTATGAAAAATGACTCTTTTTCAATGTCGCTAAATATTACCAGTGTTCCAATAATTGATTAACAAAACTTGTAAATATATAAATAGTTTTAAAAATTTTAAGCCTAAAAACTATGTAAACTATCTCAAAATGTTAAAGGATAATCCCAAGAAACTAAAAGCAAAAAGATATACCTAAGGATTTAAAAGCTCCGTTTGCTTTAAAATTATGAAGGAGGTATGAAGTGTCTACATGTTTTGCAAGTTTAAAGATAGTTGCTCATTCTCAAGACTTGATTTTGATAATGCCAAAATTTTTTCCATCCCTGTAATATCAACTCAACTTCATGTCCTGGAATCTTGTCTCATTTATTTGAATGCTAGTTCCCTTATTAATAACGGGAGTTCCTCACCATCTTTCCATTACCTGTGGAAATGCAGTTCGCCTTTATTTGCTTCCCTCTGCCACTGTAGTTTTTTCTAGCTTTGTTTTCTCCCTTCTTTTTTTCATTTTTTTTCATTCTTGGCTTTTGTGGTTTTTCTAATTTTCTTTTTCACCATTATTTTTTCATTGGTAACTTTGTTTTCTGTTTCAAATCACTTTTGTTTTTGCATTCGTGCCTAGCAAGTCTTGAGAATGGGCACCTATCTTTGAGCATTTGAAATATGTTGACTTTTCCTTTACTATCTTGGCATTTCTTCATAATTTTGGAGCATGATATGATTCATAATGTTTTTAAATTTAAAAATGAATAAAGTTTTCTTTTTTACTTGTTATATTCAGAATATTAAAGACAACAACAGATTCAGCTGATTTGTCTAAGAATTGGAAATATTCTCCTAATTTTTAAAAACATTGAGGAATCCTTTTTTTTGAGATTTCTATCATTATATTATTTTAAGCATATATGAAGTATTATTTTGTTTGTCATAGAGACGTAACTTTACCTTTGGACTTTGAATCACGTTTTTCAAATCTTCTAGTTAACTCATTTTTTTTTAAGCATTCAAGACATGCAAACTTTTTTTTTTACCATCCTCATAATTTTGAAGATTATGAAGTTTTTAAATCACAAAATGTATATATATAGGAATANATATCCAGGTATATATATATATATATATATATCTGTGTGTGTGTATAAATTAATATTAAGAAGAACAACAGCAGACTCGGCTAATTTGTAAAATACACTGTGGAATCATTTTTCTGGGGATTAAATTATTTTAAGCATGTATAAAGTATTTTGTTTGTCATTGATATTTAACTTTATGTTTGAACTCTTGTATAGTTTTTATGTTTTTGATCCAAGTCTTTGGTAGACTTGTTTTTCTTACCTTTGCTGCAAATTGAATTTTTTTTTTTCGTCTTTGGCAAAGGGAGTTTTAAAACTATGTTTTTCTCTAAACTGCTTAGTGTTGCTATGAAAAAAATTTAATAATAGTGTACAAGATGATAATGGACAAGAGAAATTGAAAAAAAAAAAATCCAGCATAAAATACTAAGTTTTTGAAGTGATAACTGGTGTTAATGGTGTTGAGAAATCTTGTACAGAATAAATCATTTCTATGGGTGTGCTGAATAAGAAGTGATGTGTAAAAATAATTTATGTTCTTTATAATACTTTCGCTATAGGGGAGAGAAAATCTCTCTAGATTTGCACAGATCTATAATAAGCGAGTAAGGGAATCAGAAAAAATTAAGCTGCAAATTTTATTAAAAATTGTTTAATCAAAAAAAGTTGGGCAGTGCCAAATTTAGCTACAAGTTTTCTATTTATGGTAATTACATTTTTATTAATCTTAGCAAAACTATAAATTGCTTACTTTGTTTATCATTTTCAAACTTTACAGAACTATTTTAATATTTTTCTAATTTAGAAAGGATAATAATTTTTTAAGAATATTTTTAACTACTTCTTTAGTGTTTCTATGACGTAAAAATTGTGTGCAATAAAAAAAATTTCATTTCAACACATTTTACTATGGAGAAAGTTTAATGTGTTTCTCTTTTCTATCATTTTAGAATTTAAAATTAAAAAAATTAATTAATTAAAAAAATTTGTTTCTTCTACTTATTATTAATGTTTCAATGTTCTTATGAAGCTAAATAGTTCATTGTTTATGAGTTTTAGTTTTTTTCTCTCTCTTCTTTTTTTTTAGTTCAAATATTAACTCAAATATTGTTGGAGTTCTCACAAAAATATACTGTATCTTAAAAAACCATCCTGAAATCAAACAAGCTTTTGGAATGTTTTTACCGCCTAATATAAATTTGAAATTTCAAACTGGATTCTATGCTGCAACTGATGATTCAGCTGTAGAAAATGAAGAACAGTCAACTGAATCTCCTTCTGAAATGAAACCTGTAAGTTATTCTGAAAAGTATTTATTATTTACAGTTAAGTAAAAATGCTAATTTATGTAATTCTTTAGTATAATTAATGTAATTTAAATTTTAAAATAAATATCTAATTCTTGTAATCTGAGGTTTTAATTTACTTATTGTTGAATTAAAATCAATGAAGTTATATGAAATTAAGAAGAAATCTATTAATTTGTGAATCTGAGTTTATATAACAGTTGATAAAATTAATAGTGTTCTAAATTTTCATTTTTTTTCAATATTTTTCTGTGAAAAACATCTATTAAAACTTTTTATGCAGCATTTCTGGAAATTTCCTGATATTTATTTTTTAAGGATGTAACTTAGCGAAACTTTTTTTCTTCCTCATGTATGAGATGTTTGTCTGAATGTATTCATATGAATTGAGTGAAAAATAAAATCTATTTTTAGAGATTCCCTCTATATCCACGTAACACATCAGCGTTGAATTCGAAAACTGAAATATGATTGCTAGTGTTTTGAACTCATTAAGATTCGTTATTATTTCTGACATTTTCTTTTCCACTAACACATTTGAATGCGTAGGGCTAAGAAAAGGAGCCTTGGCAATAAATTAAATCTATTAATAGCAAATGCATGGATTCCCAAACTTTCTTTGGCTTAAACTATATGAACAATGGTCTTCTTGATTTCTTGGTGAACGAAGGTACCCTGTGGGGCTCGCTGCGGGCCATTTTTAAAATTTATTATATTATATTTTATAAATCGTATATTTTCAAAAATAGGAAGAATCTTCTTTACTTCGGAGGTCTGTATATTTTCAAAAAAAAAAGTTTTTTATTATTTATATGTTGATTTCGTTATTTATACTGTTTATGATGTTTAATATTTAATTGCTAGTCTTTATCTCTTTGGATTAAAATAGTGAACCCTCTGAATTAAAGTACATCAACCAACTTCTTCCACTAAAATAGTAATCATCAACTTCTTCAACAAACGTCATCTCTATGTTTCCCCATACTAGTTTTTTCTGTGTTAATGAATTTTATGTCTTTAACATAAAATATACAAAAAATTTTAAGTTTGCTTTCTTATGATAGCAATTAAAGAATAGTATTGGTTTTAAAACAATCAAGAAAATATATACAGTCAGTATAATGAACTGTCTGCAGACCCAGCAATAAGATCACTTTTAATGATGGTTCATTCTATCCAAAATGTCAGAAAATCTTCTTTAGCATATTGCAGTAGCATAGCTGCCAACTCTCCTTATTCATTTGAAAGACTCCCGAATTCTGAAGCTTTCTCCTGAAGTTCCGATCCGACTCTAAATTTCCCGAATTTCATTAAAAATCTGGAAATCCTTCCCCCAAAAAGGATTTTAAAATGTAAAAAGTTTTTATGGAAAAGAATCCATACAAAAAATTGAAGCACTCAGATTGAAGCATGAAAATAATTGCAAACCATGTGCCCTCGAGAAGAGATTTATGCGAGTCGGGATCCTGCTTAGACAGAAAGTTAGAGGTGGAGAGCTTACCGTCAGAGATCATTGATGAAAGTACAGTGAATTTTTATAAATTGGAAGAAAATTTGATAAATTGGCTATGCTTTTCTTGCTGGTAATACTACATTCAAATACTGAATGTGAACGGATCAAGTGAACAGTTTAGTGAAGAAAAATCAAACTATTGTAGAGCTACTGGATCTAATTAGAACTTAGAAAAACTTATGTCCATAAAATGAGCCACTAATAAAAAATGTTTTAAGGAAGATTTCAGTAACCATATTTTACAAAAACTCAAATTGCCACTTATAATTCAGAACTGTCTTTAAAGAATGCAAAATTGTTTTTTTTAATTTTTTTCTATTTGTATAAAGAATGTATTTTTATTGTGCTAAATCTTTGCTGCATTTTCATTTTGCGAAAATGTATTCTAATTAGCTGTAATTTTATGATTTACTTATTCAAGTGAAGATCGTAATGTAATGCTAATTTTAGTTTTTAATGTCTTTTGTAATTTTTAATACATAAACATATTTTTAGATTTTTGTCCATTTTTATTCCTCTAATAAATGAATATTTTTCTGTATAAATTGTGTATTTTTATATTGTAATTTCTTATTTTGAAAAATCCCTATACCATAAATTTTTTCTGTGCATTTCCCCCAAAACCCTCCTTAATTATGGTTTTGTGATGCTGGCAACTATAAAGTAGTGTTGTTAGAAATAGTAATTTTATAATACTTAATTTGCTTTATAAATTTTAACTAACTAGATATATAAAGTCTCTCTACAACATAGTTTCCTTAAAGCAAATTTCTTTCTATAATAAAATTTTTTGACAAAAACATTCTAACTCTCCATGTAATAAAGTGATTCTCTCTCCATAACAAATTTTTAAGACCTTTATCTTCTCAATTTTCTTCTTTTCTGAAATTTTTTAATTATTTATATGTTTTTATTTCTGTTATTTTAGAAGAAAAATTCATTTAAAAGTTTTAATATCTGAAAAACGTAATTTTGAGTTTACTATAAAGGAACTATCAACTTCTTAGTTTTTCTATATATGTATGTATGAAATAACATTAGTTAAACAATTGTTTCTGTGAGATCACTAAAAATGTTCGCTACAACCAATGTTCACTATATTCCAGGTTCATATTATAGTGGGGTTACACTATACAAAAGGGTTGAATTCAGTTTATTTCAATAACTTAAAGTCAAGACTCATTTATAAAAATATCACAGTTCATTCTGTTATTCATTGATTATATTATATTGTATGATTTTTTTAAAAAGAAAGTTTTTTTTTTCATTGCAGGACTCAACTAGTTATTTGGCTTCACAGGATTCGAATAGTAGTATAAGAAAACAGGATACCATTTCTGCAGAGTATGCTTCGTGTTTTCTGCATAAAGTAGAGGTTTGTGATTTATTTTATTTTTGGTCAATTTTTTTTGTTGCTGTTTTTATATTTTTTTAATTTTGCACATTAATTAGGGAAATTAGTTTAAATATATGCTTTTTTTTTTTTTTTTTTTTTAAAGGAACGTTTTAAAAATGATAGAGAAACATATGAAAAATTCATTCAACTGTTGCCATCTTTAAGAGATTCATTGGTAAGCACTTAATACTGCTCAAAACTTTTTTGTTTCACTAACCCGTATTATATAAAAGTTCTCATAAGATTTATCTGCATTTCTTTCATTTTAATTCCATCTCAGAAATCAGATCCTGCATTTGAAACTCAGTTATTTGAAGAGATATGTAGACTTTTTCAAGATCATGATGATTTGATCGATGAGTTCAAAGCCTTTGTTCCCAATGCAGACTACAGCTATCAAATTAAAGTAAGAAGTACTTTAAGAATTTATTTTAATTTTCGTGTTTGAAATTTCAAATGTATATTATATATATATTTTTTTTATACCTTATTTTGGATAAAATTATCAATTGAAATTTTTTATATTAACCCTTTGGAGGTTATGAACGAGGAAGAACCACTCGGGAGCAAGATTTCGATTAAAATGGTTAGAAACGAGCACTTCTCGCATGGTGAAATTTTTCCCCAATGGGCGCTGAGGAGCTGAGATCGTTGGTCATTATTATTCTGCATTGATTATGTTACAAAAGAATCCTACTCGCGAAATGTAGTTAGTTTTACTGTCTACAGATGGCAGTACGGGTTCCATGAATTTCTTTTCATAATGAAGGGGGATTTTTTTTTACCTTGTACTTTTTATGTGTATTTTGGCACGTTTTTAGGTTGTTTGTAAAGTAAAATGGCTCAAAAGAGAAAGTTAGATAATTAAGATGATGATTATGATTGTTAAAGATTTTAAGGTAATAACTGTAATTTTTTTATAGCGTGTACAGAAAGATTTTTAGGTAATTACTGTATTTAAATGCTTCATAAAATTTTACATTAGTTGTATTTATTTAGTCCTTTCAATTTAATATTTGTCTTAGATTTATAATTAACTATATTATTTATAAAATTGATTATAATCATTTATGATTTACTATTTAATAATTATCATTTATTAATTATTTTAAAGTACGTAAAAACTGTTATTTATGTACTACAAATCCTTTAAGAAATTTTTAAAACGCGTGAGGCAAGCTATCTATGGCATCGCCAGAGAAGGGCGCCATTTCCGTAAGAACGACGGGGGAAAACAGCTGCCACTTTAAACTACTGTTTACTCGTAATACTGCGCAAATTAAGTAAACCAAAAATTAACCGTTTCTCTAACCGTCAAAGGGTTAATAAAGTAGCTTACTTGCTGGTCATACTAACTACAATATTTAATCTATGTTACCTCCACGTGTAGCCTCACCCAAGATTTCAAAAAGTTGAGCACTGACTTTTAAACTCAGTTAATTATAGCTTTAGTTGATAATAACTTTAAAAGTAGAATATTTGTTATTTTTAAGATTGCAAAATATTTTGGAAGACAAGTATTTTTGCTTCTTTATTTGTTTATATTTTTCCATATTATCAAATTTATTTTAGTCCCATATGCAACTATGTAGCTAGTCATTGGTGATGTTGTAAAAATTAAATTATTGGACAATTTAATTTGAAATAACTGTATTCATATAAAATTTATATATTTTTTGTTATAATAGTTAAAACACAATGAAAGTAAACGTAGCATAATTTCTTGAACAATTTCTTCTGCTTTTGAAATTTTCATAGTAAAAATCTGCAAATATAAAAGTGTTACAAATTTGTTTTATGTTTAACTATATTTTATGTTCCATGTTCAAAATTATAATTTACAAGCTAATGAATTATAAATTTGTATTATTTTATTTAATAATTTTAAGGTAGTTGTTTGTTAAAAATTTGATATCTCAGGAACTATTTGACCAATTTGGTTCTAGCTTTATATTTTGCTTCATAAAATTGCATTTTTTAAAATGGTGTAAAAAACTTATGTGCCTTACAATTCAAAATTTTTTATTAAATTAAAATATTGAAAAATTATAAATAATTATAAAAGTAAAATTAGCATTCCAACTTTCCAAACTTGTCCAAACTTTAGATCCCGGTCTTGACCAAACTGTTGGAACCATATTTCTCAGAATGTGATTGTGCCAATATTTTGAAGATCGATCAAAATCTGTCATAAAGTGTATTTTATTTTGAGAAAGTATGTTTCTGTGGCTGATTTTGTAACTTAATATATTGTCTGCATTAATTAACATATTTGAGTTCAATGCAGATATTTTTTCCCCTTACATATTGATGATTTTATACTTTTAGACTGTATAATTGCTAAATATTCATTTTTTAATAGATGCTATTGAAACTATATTATTTTAATTATAAAAATTCTATGTTTCTATTTCTTTTAAGTTTTTATGTTTCTTTTACAAATTATTTATATACATGTATTTTTTAATGTTTTCCAGAATTTTGGTAACTTGGCTTTAACAAATGTATCTGACACTGAAGAAGATGAAGATGTAAGAATTACTTTTTCTGAAATGTTATAGTTGTATTTTTCAGTAAATAACAACTTTTGAGCTTATTTTTTGATGTACCTGAAATTACATTCATTTTTAAAGTGTTGGTCTATGTAAATTGTGCTTTCTCAGTTTAGATTTATTTTTTAATTAAATTATTTCTGGTTTATGCTTATTAGAATGCTGAAATATTTTTTATTTATAGATAGTTAAATTATGTTAAACTTTACCTGTCGGAAATTATTAACAGTTTTATCTTTCATAAATGGTTTATTTTAGCGTGTTTAAATTTGTATATTTTTTATTAAATTTCTTCTTAATTTTTATGAGTTTTAAAACATTAATATTTAATTTTCTTTTCATCAGGTTGCTATTGAATATAATGAAGTAAAAGATCCTTCAATATCTAATGTTTATAAATATGGCACTTACGAAGAACATAAATTTTTCGACAAGGTTTGTAATTGTTTTTATGTGTTAATATTACTTTCATGAAACTTATGAAATATTATTTTGATAGAATTATTAAATTTTGAAATTTAAAGCTCATTGTATTCTGCATCCAAATAAATTATATGTTTTTCTTTATAGGTAAAAGTTGCACTTGTGTACAAAGAAGTCTACAATAATTTCCTGCATTGCTTAAATCTGTATAATGAAGATGTTGTTACAAATGTGGAACTGGTGAAAGTGTGCACGTCATTTTTAGGGTAATACTTTTTGTCTAATCTTATCAAATGAAATTTGAAAATTTTTTCAACTTAATTATCACTAAAATCATCAATCCTTTTTGAAAAAAGAGTTCACTTTTATTAATATCAAAATAGTAGTTATTTATTATTAATGTTTTATATTGGTTAGGAATTTGATCTCAATATTCATTCAGACTATTTTTTTATAAATTTTGCAGCAGAAACAAATTTATTTTAATACAATTTTTATCCAGATAAGACTGAGTTTTTATTTTTTTTGTTAGCATTATTTTTTGTCAGAATTGATCAAGAAAATTGAAGATTAACCATAAGATTTTAAAAAAGGAAAACAAATTTGTTTTGAGAAGCTATTAATAGTATAAAGCTTAAATAATATAAAAATAATTGTAAAACTTGAACTGGTTTTGTAAACTATTGCTTTATAATGTTACTACATGAAAGAATTATACTAAAATTAATGATCATAATTTTTTTTTTAAATATATAAATAATTACATTTCTATCAGATATAGCCATGAGACTTCATTTTAAAAAAATAATAACATTTATGTGTGTGTAAATGCTTCTTAAATGTTCATATAAGATTACTAAAACTTTAGCATAATCTAGCACAATTTACATGAATTATGTTTAATTTTTGGAGACTAGTATTTCTACTTGTTTGGTGAATTATCAGTTCGGTCCATTTTTTTAATTGCATTTTATCAAACTTTCTGAACTAATTTTGGAAAAAATTCTTTCAAATAAGCATAATAAATTTGATTCCCTTATTGTATTATAGTTATTTAGAAATAATGTTAAATTAATTTCTCATTGTTTACAGTATATGTATCAAACTAATATTTTTGGATTATTCAAAAATTCTAATTAGTTAAATGAGATGAAATTGCTAAGTGTTATGGATAGTAATGCCTAGATATACCTGAATCAGTTGTTTCAGTCATAGTTTTTCTGAAATTGAGTTAGCAGTGATTTTTACTTATTTGTAGGCAGAGAAATTTTATTGGTCTTGAAAAAGGATTAGTGCCATCACAATTAAGCACTTTGAGTAGCCATAATTAAATCATGCAATAATTATATGTTTATTTTCAGTTTACAAGTTTTTATTAAATTTTATTTACATATTTTTAATTTAATAATTCATTAGTTAAAATAAATCTATTTATTTAATTTTACTTGTATTTTTAGTACTCCTATCTAAACTATTTGGTTATTGATAACATAAAGGTACATACCTAATTAGATTATTGCATACCTAATTTTAAAAAAATGTATTATTCTAACTGACAGAACATAGTAGGATATAAGTTAAAATGATGTTCTTACTTATGGCTAGAGTACTGCAAAATATACTTGCAGTATATAATTCCAATATAAAATAAATATAAATTTTTTGTTTTATTCTGAAAATTTCAAAAGTGAGATCTATACCTTTTTGCAAATAACCAGTTCAGTTCATTTTATCACTTTGAGGGTAACATTTAAAATGTAGTCATAAAATAAGTGAAAATCTTAGTTTTATAAATAAATAATTTTAAGAAATTTTTTAGGAGACACCCAGAATTATTAAAGCAACTTAAAGATATGCTGGGATTTGAAGAAAATGGTGAAAACTATGAAATAATACCAATGAAGATTGTAAATTTGGAAAACAAAAGGAGTGATCCAGAAATCGCATTGGATATCGGTACCATATTGCTAATTATTTTTTAAAATTTATTATCATTGAATATCTCTGTTTCATAATAAAAAGTATTTTTATTATGAAGCATTTTGATATTGTGATTAAAAATGCTATTGTTTTTATATAATTATTATTATGTTTTATCTTTAAAGATCTCTACTATAATTTTTTCTCTTATATATTTTTTTCAGATTTTAGTGCTGTTAGACTGTTTTTTATGACTTATAGAACAGTCCGGATGATGCCAATTTTTTAACAATTTCAAATTGTCTATTTCTTAAAGTTGGGAACAATTTATAATTTATTTCTATTATTATTTTGGATTTGTAGACAAGCATTGATTTTTTTTTTTTTGGACAAATGTATTCATTTGTTCTTGAAGCTGTAATAATCTAATTGGCACACTTCAAACCATGCATTTAAATATGTTACAGCTTATTTTTTTTTTTTAAAATGCCAATTAATATCATTAGGAAAAGTAGCTTCATGGCATCAAAAAGTTGCTACTGTGTGATATTCTATATTATGTACTTCATTTTGATAAGAGGCTTGATAAGATTTTTGTAGGCTGCCTTTGGAACTCTTTCTTCTACTCCTGAAATAACTCTCACTCAGTATTTTCTACTGTGATCTCCCAAATTTAGTGACCTGGCAAAGACATAAAATCAATGCTTGAGGTTTAAATAAATTTAAAATAAAATCTTTTCTAAAATGATCTCATTTTTCAAAAAATAAATAAATAAATTTTTAAAAAAAAGATATTTAGAGCTTTCTTCCATTATTTTGGATCAACTATATTTTTCTACTCACTTATTAATGTGAGAACAGGGCTGGCTTTTTGCTAACAGGAACTAGTTTTTGCCCTGCTAGTAACAGGAACTGGTTGTAACCGGTAGAAATTGTCAGAAACTTACAGACATCTTTGATAATTCTAATAATTACTCAGGGCTGACTGTGCTCCGAAAAAAATCCGGAATTCCGGAGATTGAAGATTCAGACATTTCAAAAAATCATTGATTACAGAAGTTTCCGGAAATCAAATTTTCAAAGGTGGAACTTAAAAATACATTTTATTTTATTTGTTTGTTTGTTAGGGAGAGATTATATTCATGATTAATATTCATTTTTTATCAGTAAATAAAGACATATTTGTATATTTTAATTACTTCTCCAGGTCATCATAGTTATGTGTAAAATTTTAAATATATTTTAAGTAAACTAAGAAATGTTGAGAAAAAGGAAAAAAACCTTGTTTAAATTTTTTTCTAATATTTCAATTTAAACTGTTTTTTTCTTCTTTTTTTTTTTTTTCTCTTTCTTTAACTCGAGGTATTTTTCCAGAATTTTGACTTGGGCTCACAATCACCCCTGAATTACTAAATGACATTCGAAGTTAATTTAACTAAGAAAATGTAACTCCATTTAATCATCATAAAAATTTTAAAATTGCAAGACTGAAATTTCTGACCCAAAGCAATTGATTTAATCATTGGTGTAATTGCTCTGTATTAGAAATTTCAGCCTTGTAATCTTCTTGTTATTATAACAAACTTTTTTGTTTATTGTTTGTAAATATATTATTTTATTTACATTAAATATAAAGTGTAGTATATCAAATATTTATGTGAAAAAGTAATGTAATTATCAATATGAACTCTAGATTTTAGTTTTTTTTTACATTAAACTCTAAAATTTAGTGAATTCATTGTCATTTATCTTTTAATGTAACAGAATGAAGCTTTTTTTCAAGTTGTGATTTGCACTGCAACGGTCAACAATCCAACCATATATACACTAATGCAGGCTTAATCTTTGCTGTATATAAAAAGGAATACGATTGTTAGATTCGCTGTCTCATAAATGTAAACATAAACTTGTCATTTAATAGGTATAGGCGATTGCAGAGTCCGAACAATATAATATTTGATTTTGAATGGTGATATTAATATAAATAAGGTTGTACTTTTGTTAACATTTAATTGTTTTTCCTATGCATTATATATTGTATTCCTCTGCATTGTATGTCAGTAATTACTTTATGTCATTCTCTGAGTTTTCGCTACAAATATAGAAAGGGGCTTTTGCCATGCTGCTTTTAACGGATTTCTACCAATATTTTTAACCGCCTTGGCAGAAACCTGCCAGTCCTGGCAAGTGAATAATATTAGATGACTAGTCAAAAAATTAATAAGTAACTGTGTTTACTTCTATTTATATTGTGATTAATAAAAATGCATTTATATTTTCTGCTTTTCGCAATGCATTTTTTAACTGGTATCTAAGTAGTTTAACATTTGAATAATAAAACAGATTTATCAATCAAATGACTTTTTTAACAACTAAATATTCCTCCTCACTTTATATAAAATATATAATTTCTAATTTTTCTATTACAGATTATGCAACAGATGGTAGAAATGGCGCTAGTTATCGAGCATTGCCAAAAGATAATGAAGAACCAGTATGCTCTGGACGAACGCCACTGTGCAAAGAGGTATTTGAAGTGGTTTTTTTTTTGTTGTTTTGTTTTCTTTTCATTCTAAGATATCATAAATGTTTATTTAAATATCTTCCTATTTAACAAAAATTAATCCTCAGAATATTAATCAATCTACATTTCTTGGCTCACTTATGGTTTCTAAAATTGACGTTAGTATTCTGAAGTCACTGATAAATATTGAAACAATAATAAAACATGTTTATATGTATCACATTAAGAAACTCAATAAATAAAATATAGTGGCAAATTTTATTTTTGTAAAAGTAGTTTCATGTTTTGTTTCTTTTAAAACATTATTCTTTAATATACATTTTAAATTGTAAAATTGTTTTTATTAGCATTATTAAATTATTTATAGTATTATATTTGTTAGATCACACTTTTTTGTTGTATAAGTTATACAGAAAAATTTAAATTAGAATTTCAGTTAACTTTAAAGGCTATTTGCTAAATTTATTTATTCTATTTCAGTTAAAGTACTGAATCAGAAAAAGTTTTAAAACGAAAATTTTTTATATTGTTCTTCGATTTTAAGTATGCTAGTCAATAAAATAGTTGACATTCGTAATTTTTGTAGGTTTTAAATGATGTGTGGGTGTCTTTTCCTTCATGGTCAGAAGATTCTACTTTTGTTACCTCTTGCAAAACTCAATTTGAGGAAATTATGTATCGATGTGAGGATGAAAGATTTGAAGTAAGAATTTAAATCTATAAATCAAATTGTTGAGTTATTTATTTATTCGTAACATAATTTCTATAATTTCATTCATTCTGTTTTATATATATATTTGCTGTTAAGTTATGAAATAGCTGTTCATTCAGTTTGCTTTTATTATTCTTTTACTAAAACAACTCTGATTTTTTTCAAAATGTCTCTAAAGTAATTTTTTTTCATTGTTGTCTCATTCTTCTGATTTCTTTTTATCATTATCTCATTCTTCTGATTTCCTTTTATCGTTATCTCATTCTTCTGATTTCATTTTATCATTATCTCATTCTTCTAATTTCATTTTAGAATTATATTAATCATATGTGATTAGATTCTGTAAGCTTCTTTCATAAATTTAGCAATTATATATCTATTTTTAGATGGATATGGCGATTCAATCAAATTCTTATGCTATACAGTTGCTTGAAAATGTTCAGAAGAAAATATCTAAAATGAGTGCTGAAGATAAAACAGTGATGACATTAGATGATACTTTAGGTGGTACGTCCACTGTATTATATCAAAGAGCTCTCCATCGGTAAACTCAAGTTTTATTTGTATTTTTTTTCAATAAAGCAATACTAGGAAAATTCCTAACTTTTTTAAGGCAACCTGTAGATATTTAATGATGAACATTTTAGTGTTGGAATGTATGTGTGTATCTATATAATTTATCTGTGTAACTATTGTAACGTTTGGAAATTAGAAACTTTTTCATTTGAAAATACCTTACTTAACATGTTGATTAACATGATTGATTTTAAATTTAATGTCTTTATTTAACATTTTTTTTACTTGGAATTTTTATGTTTGTTGTACAGAGTTTTATTTATAAAATTTAGCTTTATTGAAATTTTATCACATTAAGAAATTTTTATGATTATGATTAACATTTTATTTAATTGGGTTTTACTTTATAAAACTTACATTAATGCTACTCTGAAAATTGCATTTTATTAAAATGTTGTTTGTTAAATGTTAAAGCACTTCTGTTGGGAAAAGTGATATTTTTATTATACAATATAAATACTGATTTAATCTTATACAATATTTTCTAGCTTATATGGAGATAAACTAGAAGAACTTCTGGTAGGACTAAAGCGAAATCCTGTTGTGGCTGTACCTATAATTTTAAAAAGGTATTTGAAATATTTTTAATTGGAAATTAAAGAGATTTTTCTCCCTGTTCAGTCATTTTATTACTTTGACTGAGATTGAAAAAAAGTAAGATGTGTATGTTCTAAAACTTAATTGTATTTCATTAAAGAAGGAAAAACAAAACTGTAAAAGAAAAGCCTTAAACTGAACACTTTTACTTAACTTATACAAAAATTAGATCAAATGTGCACTATTCTGAAGCACTCAAAATGCTCTTCCTTTAATACAAAATAATATGCTATCGAAATAAGGATTGCAAAAAAAAAAAATAATTTTTTTTTTTCAATATCAGGGGTCTGTCCGGGGCAAATTTACTACCGTTTAGCGGTACCTTCACAAAATCAGCTTAAGGAAAAAGGGTAGTTTCACAAAATACTTTTAAAAGAGCAAATTCTAAGATTCTTATGTTTTTTTTTTAAATTCAACTTTAAATTTAATTATGGATAATCAATTTTATGGATATTTAAATTTGGATACAATTTTAAGCCAAAAATTTTACAATAGAAAAATTGTTTTTGAACATACGGGAAAAATATATGTGGAAATTTACCAGTCATAAATTATTTTTATTTGTTGTATTAAAAATTATTTTTTTATTTACCCATTTTTGTGTTGATTTTTTAATATAATTTTTAATTTTCACAAATTATATCTTAATTTTCACAAAATAGGTACCTTTTAAAAAAACCTAGACAGACCCCTGAATATGTTATTTTGTGAATAGTATGCCTTTGACGATAAAAAATTATTTTGATTTCCTTTAAAAACAAACAAAATCTATCTTATATTTTGGTCCTGTTTATATCATTTTCCTGATTTTAATATCAGTTACCTTCTCCCAAGCTGTTCCTTATGTATTTCATTTTTTATTGTTTTGAAATTATTCTGGCTCAAAATTTATATTTTAGAAGGGAAAAAAAATAGTGATAATATATGATACATAAAAAATTCTTTTTGCACATATTTTTAGACTCAGAGGGAAAGAAGAAGAATGGAAGGAAAAGCAAAAAGAATTTAATAATCATTGGAGATTGCAGATTGACAATTATTACCTTAAATCACTTGATCATCAAGGAATTAATTTTAAACAGACTGATTGCAAATCATTCCGTTCTAAAGGTATTTTGAAAGAAATGGAAATGGTTTATGCTGAAGTAAGTTTATTTTTAATGTATAGAATAAATTTATTTTGTGTAAGAATTAGTGCATTTTGTTTCATCAATTAAAAATCAATTATTTGAAATCTGTTTACATTAAAATTTCTTCTAAATTGAAAGTTAATATTTTTATGATAAAATACTACATTCTTAAAGCTTTGATTTATAAATTTAATTTTTTAAAAAAGGCATGTGTTTAAAAAATTGCAAAAGTTTTTTACCAAGTGTTTAGATTTGTTGCTGTTAAAATTAATGTTTTCTTTTAGAAGAAATAGAAAAATAATTTGTTATTCTATGTTTTTTCATCAATTTTAATTCAGATATTTTATTTTTGTCTGCATTAAAATTATTTGCTTGCTGTATTTTCAAAGTTAGAATTTTTCATTTTTTATAATTAAATGCTGAATTCTTATAGTATTGTCTTGTAAAAATATTAAAAAAAAAAAAAAAAATANGATAAAAATTTAAAGCAAAAAAAAAAAGAATATGAGAATAAGAAAAGAAAATGTAAAAAAATTTTAGTATTGTTAAATTTTGCTGTAGGTAAAAATATTGTTCTCTTTTAGAAAAACAAAACTTTTTTTCTTGATTCTATGTTTTAAAATTGAATATTTGATATTTGTTTACATTTAAGTTCTTCAAATTTGAATAGGAATTTAAAGTTGGACTGAAATTACTATTGAGTTGTAAAATAAATAAGTTTTTGCAGATGTTAGATTTGCAGGGTGCGTACAGACTCCTTATACTCCTTGGAAATTAAAAAGTCTCCAAGGAGTACTTGGAGCTACTTAGATTTCCAAATTAGTCCTTAGAAACTCCTTAGATTATTGCTTTGCATAGATGAACTTACTAAGTCCGCTGATGAATTTGCTGTCCAAGCTGGGAAACTAAATGATATGCAGTGGTGCAAGTGCTGCACCAATTGTGGAAACATGCTCCAAATTGAAGTAGTTGGCTTAAATTGCTCCAAAAAGGATGTTTTCCCCTGGGTATCGTGAAGTCACAATTTTGCGGCAACCAAGCTACTGCCATGTGGGTTGCTCTGGATTCAGTGGGAAGGATTCTTGCACTTTCATATGCAGCTCTGCTTTATTTTGCAAGATATTCTCAATTTCAGGCTTCATTTTCCACTCTCTGAAATGGAACCGAAACTTCTCTCGAAATTTCGGGGATCAACTAAACATTGCCAAATTTTAATAACAAGAGAAAATTTTATTTCTCTTGTTAATTTCATAGTTATTGAAGTGCTATCAACTTCGTCAATGGCAAGCTAATGGCCTTCTTGCGCTATTCTATTTATAGATTAGTACCATGATCTTTGAATTAATTTGAGGGACCATTCACTAAGTACATATTTTCATGTTGATCCTCAGAGCAATCAAGAATCACAAAGCTTCATAACCTCAAAATTTCAATCTCCCCTTTATTCATTTAATTTAATAAAGATAAAAATTAATTGAGTTTCTTAAACATAATAATTTTATCTGAGGGACTATCCACTAATTGCATATTGTATTTAAACATTGATTTTACTTAATTGATTTTTTTTAAATAATATTTTTCTGTTTTTTACTTATTGCATTTTATTGTATTATTACTTTCAAAATTTTCGGTGCTCTTAATTTGTTCAAGGAAAAAACTTAATAATATTTAGAGGCAAGCATGAAGAGAGGGGCTTTCAATATTTTAAATGCAGCAAAAAATCTTATGTTTTTCAGATTTGTCATTCAAAAATACTTTAATTCATCTCTTAATGATTTAAAACAATTGATATACAGAAATTTTAATTATCACAGATTTGTGAAATATTATGAGTGTAGGGACAATATAATAATTTACTTCTGACAAGTTTTTTTAGCTTTAATGCTCATTGAATTTGCATTTAAAAATTATTTAATTTTTTTTAATCTTTTCATTAATGAAATACTGTACTAGGTAACCAATTTTAATAAAAAATTTTTAGGGGCCATTCACTAATTTACATTTGTAATAAAAATTTATTGAAGTTTTCTTAATTTGCTTAATTCTTTACATATTTTTATGAATTCAGTATGATCAATATTAATCTTGTTAATGTTTTGTTGAATATGCTATTACCAATAACATTTATTAAAATTTTAAAGGAAAATACACTCGATAACCTTAAATAATAGTTAAATTAATTAGTCTTGAATTACCTTTTGCAGAATTAAATAAAGTAATTATTAATTTGGAAAATAGTATGAGCCACGAATTTATTTAAATTGCTTTTGCCAAAATCTCTTTTTTTTCCTTTTTTTTTTAAAGAAATATTTTGGCTATATTAAATTAATTTTTAGGTCTTTTCCAAACTGAGACACCATTGATTCACTTGCTGTATGATGAAATGGTGTCTCTAGTTAAGGCATTGTTAGGGCGTTTTTTAAAGAGTTCTGCTTTTCTTAGTTTGTCAGGAAAGGACTTAAAATCATTGTATGTAGAAAACACAGATATTTGACAAAATTCAAATTTAATAGATGTTGGACTAGATACCACAAATGTGATGACATCCTTATCTTCAGAAATTTTTTTTTATGTATTTAGGAAAGCTTTTAGCAAAGCTTTTTAAATCTCTTTTGTGCATACCACATGGGAATGCCGATGTTGAAAGAAGTTTTAGTGTGAACAAAAAGCTACTTAACAGTAGGGCAAGTTTAAATTCACATAGTATTAATGGTTTGAGACAAGCTGTGTCACATATCAACAAAATAGGGGGTTTAAATAACTTTAAAGTTGACAAAGATATGATTACAGTGGCTCGTGCAGCATTTAAAAATTATTCTGCTCGATTAGAGATTGAGAAAAAAGAAAGTGAAAAGAATGTGAAAACACTAAAACTGAGGAAAGCAGATTGAAAGCTGCTGAAATTGATTTGCAAAAAAAAAGTTGAAGGCTTCTCAGGATCTCTTAGCCACAGCTGAAAAAAATATTAAAGATGGGTTAAATAATAAAGACATGTTATAGAAAGCGAACAAATCCTCTTATCTGAGGAAAAGTCGAGGATAGCAAAATATTTAACAGCATTGGAAGATACCAAATAGAAACTTAATTTTTTAATGCAGGGACCTTCATAAAAATAAAAAAAATAAGAGATTTTATTAATGAACAAAATTGAAAATTCTTGTTTTAATTTTTTTTATTACATATGTTCCAAATCTTCGTTTTGCTGCTCCAAAATTACTTTTTTGTTACTCCAAAGCCATGTTTAGCCACTTACACCACTGGATATGATTTAGCTGTCAAAATCTAACAGTTTAAGAAAACTTTTAAAAGAATAAAAATTGAATTGCAAGAGTTAGAAGAAGAAAAATAATAGCAAATGATTTTACATGTTACAAGCAAAGTTAATTAATTTGCTGTGATTTTTTTTTGTTGGTATAAAATGCCTTCGATTTTCTTATGTATTCAAATTTAAAAATATAAGATTGGTAGGTTTTTATGTCAATCCTTAACATCTGTACTTTAACAAGATTTATTAAAATATTTGAAATTGGAGAATGTATTTATGTGTCAAAGTGATAACTTAATTTATTTTTCTTGAAGTTTGACAAAGTCAAAATTTATTTCAAAAGGGATAGAAATTAAATTCAAAATATACATTTTTGCAAGTTCCTTATAATAACTGCTTTTTAATTTTTAAAAAAAATTATCTTTTACACAAAGTTTTTAAATTTTTGATAAGTCCTTAAAATTTTGGACTCCTTAGATACTCCTTGGATTTCTTCTTCTGATCTTTGTATGAACCCTGCATTTGTTAGAATTGTTATTTTCTTTTAGAAAAAAGAAAATGATGGTTTTGACTCCAGTGCTCCTCACTTTCTGTTAGAATTCAAAGACTTGACTGTACTTTCTGATGCTCTTAATCTTATGGGCCAATATTTGAAAAAATTACCTGGTATGTTTTTGCTTTTACTCCTTATTACGTTTACTTATGATTCAATTTATAATGAAACATACATTTGTAGGGTTCCCACAGTCCTTAAAAACAGCTTAATTTTTATTTTGGAATATAAGGGCTTTTAAAAGTACTAAATTTCGGTACAAGGTTTCTAAAGGTGCTTATTTTTTCAGCATCACTGTAGTTGACATGAACAATTTTTTAGTCTTACAAAAATATTTAAAGCAAAAAGTAGTTATTTTACAAAAGTAGTTATGTAACCATACCTCCAGAGTAGAGCATTTTAGAGAGACTAGAAAGAATGTGTGTGTGGGGGGGGGGAGCTACAGGCAAGAAAGCTTGTTCTTTCATTAATATATTCTTCCTTTTGCCTAGAATGATACTGTATGAGGAGAGTGAAGCATTCAAAAATAAAAGAATAGAGTGTGGACTAAGGGGATACTGCACATGGAAGAGATCATGTAATTTTTTGTGTGGGGGACAGTTAGTTCTAAGTAGAGGACCATTAACCGGTGAAATCAACATAGTTCAAGAAATTCGGTTCTACTGGTAGCGGATGTGCTTATGGGAACAAAGTAAAACCCTAAGATAAGAAGTATCAGCAAATATGTTTGAACTAGAATCCATAACTAAAATTAAGCAGATTTTTAGATAAAAATTTAAAGCTACTCAATTAAAAGATCCCAAACTTTTTGGTAATAATGTCTATTAGATTAAAATTTAAACTTAGATTTTAATAATATTTTTGTTCAATTAATATTGCAACTTAATGTACTTTTTAAAAAAAAGAATTCTATACAATTTTTGATTCCTTTAAAATTAGTGCATGTTTCTTGCTAGATTGTTTAGTAATATTATGTAAAGTTAATTCTTAAAAACAGGTTTGACTGTAAATAATTTTATGTAAAGCTCATGATAAAAATAAAAATAAAATATTTGCTGTTTAGCAATAATTTTAAAATGGTTAAGTGACATACTGTTTTCAATATTTTTTCACTAACATTTCCTGATAAAATGATATTACCGGATAACTTAATACCACTTTCAGTTTTATACTGTTAATTTGGGATAAAAATAAAACATCAAATCATAATAATAGTAGAGAATAATATTAAGAATGATAGAGGATAAAGAAATATCACAAATAAATATCTGTAAATGATGAAAAAATAAATAATTTATCAGTATTTGTTAATTACCTTACCAATTTTCTGGCCATAGGAATATGGTGATAACTTTGAAAAATCATTTTTGACCCTTTTATTTATATATTCCAGCCAGAACTAATATAAAAAAACCTATCGGTTTAAAAATTATAAATCTTCTCAAGCATAAGTGTATTTTTATTCTATATAAATTTTTATAAAAATATTTATTGCAATGAGTTTTAAAAAACATTAAATTAATTCTAATGGAAAAATAGTGAAATGATTTAAGGTGCTTAGATATTAGCAGGGCCAGTATTTATTTGAAATAGGACTTAATTTAACATGACATAGTTAAGATAACTGCTTTCATGCGTAACTCTAATTGAACTTTTTAGTATTATATATTTTAATATATACCCATGTAACATTCTATTAATGGAAAAGAAAGAATTTTTTTGGCATAACTGAATATTTAGCAAAATTGCCTCCATCTAAATATATGATGCAGTGAAATATAAAAACTTGTTCTTATAATTTTTTCTATGTTTTTTCCAAATTTCTTTATTTACTCTTTTTTTTTTAATAGTATATGGAAAAAAGTGTGAATCTTAATTTCTGCTCTTTAATTTTACAATTTAATTTCAATGAATTCATTAAAAATGGAATACGGATTAGTTTCATAGATGTCATTAACCCTTAACATTCTGAAAATACTTTTTTAAAAAACCCAACCCGGGTGGGCAAAAGTTGCCTGATCTACTTTGGTGAACCCTGTTAATTAGTAGAGTTATATCAGTACTTACACTATAATTAAATTGTTTTTTATAATTTTTTTATAGATTGATTTTTTTTTTAAAGAAAGGTAAATAATTGCCACTGTCACTGATTTACATGTGTATATTCGATGATAAACAATCATACTATTTTTAAGGCCCTTAATTTTTCAAAAAAGTCTTTAATTTTTTCAAAAAAAAAGTCCTTAAAAGTGCTTAGTTTTTGCTTACCCTGCAGTTCTTAGACAAGCAGCACTTGAGAGAATCTACACTATCCCAACGGAGGCTGTTCAAGTATATACGGGTGGAAGCAAGGACGAAAACAATCACACCGGGAGTGGGATCTTCATCAAATCTCAGATGAGCGAAATTAAGATCCAGAAAAGGAATCCCGACCACTGTTCCGTTTTTAGGAGCAAGCTTATTGCCATCAATGATGGACTTGCCCCAATACTGTCTCTTTCAATTCCGAAAGAGATTTGGATCCTTACCGACAGTAGAAGCGCTGTTTAGCACTTGGCTAGCTGGCACAGAGTGAGGGACAATACTAGCACGAACATCCTTTGTAAACTTTTACACCTCTCCAAATATTGTCGAATTCATGTACAATAGATACCCTCACACGTAGATGTATCAGGCAATGAAATGGCAGATAGTCTTGCCAAAGCAGGTGCAGCTGAGGCCACTGCGCTCTAGTGTCTCTTACCTCCTCAGAGCTCTTCTCCATTGCTAAAGCCAAAAATAAATCAGCATGGCTCACTCCACCCAGTCACAATTGGTACCAGGGTACCAGACCAGGTAGCTGTTTGACAGCTGACAAAGACCGTCAGTCTCAAACCGCCATCACACGTCTCCGCTGTGGACACCTGAAATCACTGAGGTACTCTGGAGGAGAAAAGTGCTTTGCCCTCTGTACCGAGTGCTCTTCTGCCCAGGCATCCCCTGAACATCTACTGGACTGCCTCGGTCTTTTAAAACAACACCTTATTGAAAGACCCTTACTTGTTTTAGACTTTTTGAAGGTGAACAATCTCATGGACCTTGTCTAGCTAGGCTTGAAATGGGGATTTGAAAGAAGAAGAGTTTTTGCTTTGTTAAAAGAGTGGGAACCCTGATTTAAAAACATGTTAAAAGACAAATTTTAAATTAAGGTATGGGCTTTTTAACTATAAATTTTAATGCTTTAAGCATTACCATTTAGTTGATATCCGATTACTGATTGCTTTTATAACCTATTAAACTGAAAAATTATTGTGATATTCATTTTTCTGGATTCCTTAGACCCTTGTAAATATTGGTTTAACTATATGTTTTTTAACTACTGAGTTGCAGCCCCAAGTCACGAAATTTTTTCAAATCACATTTTCCCACAAAATTTAACTTATATCCAATATTTCCTATTTCATAACTTTACTAAATTATGAATCAAACTTTCTCTATTTTAACAATATATATATATATATATTTAAAATAGAGAAAGTTTGATTNTTTATATATATATATATATATATATATTAAACTACTATTATTCCATGAAAAATTCATGAAATTTTAAAATTTCACATATTTTTATTGCAGCATTAGAGATGAACATTGTAAAATCTGAATTTGTGTTGATAAAATAATAATTTTGTAGTATATTAGTTTAATATGCATAGCGTAGCGTAAAAAGGGACATGAGTAAAAAAAAGCGTATAAAATCCTGTAATGGATATAAATCATATTTGGGCTGAAATTCTTAATTAGCGCTGAAAAATAAATGAAAAAGAATTTTAACTAAAAGTATCTATAAAAATGGGATCAATGCATAGAATAAAAAGATTTTATCTTCTAGGTTTGTGAAAATTTAAAAGTAAAATATTTATAAGAAACTTATAGATGAAGAGAAGAGTGTAAAAAATATAGCATACTAGTTTATTCTTAAGTTACAAGGCGGAATTTGTTACCCAATTTAGTGATGATGTCAGGCGGCTTTTCGTTAATCAAGAACTAATTTTACTACCCTATATTTCAATATAAAAAATAAGACATAAGAAGGGGGGGAAACGTTTTCAGAGCAAACAATGCGAAATAGGCACATAATTTCGGACAATTTTCTGTAAAAAATCTTTTTTTAAATACACCCATTGTGATTTCAAAATTATCACGCTGTGGGGTAAATAAATTCTTCTAATAGGCCGTATCAGCACATAGGCCACACATCGTGACAGTCAGAGATAGGCCATCGCCTATCTACCGGAAGTTACTGTACTTTTAAATACTTAAAAGTACGATGTAATTAGAATTTTAATGCTGCAAATATGGTAAATGCAATTCCTTAAATAAAAATCAACTAATCAAATATTTCGTGATGTCACTCTTATTTATTTCTTCAGGTGTATACCGAAATGATCGAAGTCGGATAGAATATCTTATCAGAAGTTTTATTCCTGATTTCTTTGGAGTTCCTAATACTTCTAAAAAGGAAGAAGATAATGCTACAGACAATGAAAGTGTCGCAGGTAAAATATTGATACCTTCATTTCCTCCATTATCTTCTTTTTCTCTTATGACACTGTCACAAATAATTAAATTTGGAAGACTCTCTTTTACACACAATATCCATATCTTATAACATAAAAGAATGTCTAAGAGAATTTTATTGTATTATTTGGTGATATAAACTTCTGAGTGTTTTTGTTGATATTTTCCAAAATGTAACACTTCAAAACTATTTTGTTGCTGACTGTGTTAAATGTATACTTATTTTCAGTGGCATACAAAGACATGTAGATGCTCATAGTAAAACTCCAGGTAAGACACGCGTGAAAAGAGGTGTGTAACAGTGTAATTAATGGTGGGGTGAAAAGGAATCTATTCAATTAATCTGAAAAATAAAGGAAAAATGCATATTTATCTATAGTTTAAATTTGTTGTCATGTGAACACATAAAAAAATTATTTTTCATGGATCTAAAAAAATATTTAAATTTAAATAGCCTGAACTCAGTTGTTTAGCTTATAGGTTTAATTTTTTTATTTTTTCTTTATTTAACCTACAGAAACATAGTTTCTACATAACATAATTGTGTTTCGTTGTAGAATGTGATGATAAAATGGAAGTTGATCAACCCAATGAAGAAAGAAGTGGAAATACTTCTTCTTCTGAAAATGGAACAGGCATTAAAGAAGTGTTGAGTGATCAAGAAGGATCAAATTCTGTTGATGAAAATGAATTGTCTGATGCATCAGAAAAAAGTAGTAGCTCGATTGAAGAGATTGATGTATTTGACAAAAGAGAATCTCTACTACCAATTGTTAAGGTATTAATATATTTGTAAAGGTATTGAAAATGTTACACTTTAAATGCCAGGCTTTATTCTTGTTATGCTTAAAATTTGATAAACTAATTAAATTTTGAAATGAAACATTCTCTTCACTACATAAATGTTAGATTACCACATTAGTTTATCATTCTTATTAAAAATATAAATTTGCTTTTGCATGATTAAATGTATATACATGATATTTATAGAATCGTATCAGATGCTTTGACCTTTTTTAGTAGAAAAAAACTAAATAAAACTAATATTTTTTTATTGCTTGCAGAAGAAATAGTTTTTATCTAGTTTCATATTAGTTTAATACAAAAATTTTAATATCAATTAGACAAACTTGGGTTTGCATTAAAATTTATATCAAAATTTTGCTGTTCTCTATAATTTTCTTAAATTGCAGTTTTATAGCAAAACTTTTTATGATTATAATCACAATATCTTTTTTTTTGTAATCTGACTCTTTTGACTAGACTGACTACAAATTGGGTCAAATTAAATTTAATTTTTTAAAATTGCACCTTCAGATGTGTGACACTTTTTTATGGTTAATACAAATATCAATCTAAATTATAATTTTGTTCTCATTTTAGAATGCTCCATATAGTTTGTTTTTTGTCAGCAAAACATGGTTTGTCTTTTTTCGACAATTTCATATTTTGTGTGAAAGATTATCTCGACTTCTATATGAAAGTTTGAAAAAGGATGATGAACTTAGACAAGGAGATAATGATGAAAAACTAAAGCATGGTATGATAATAAGTTCCAATTTTTCTTTCCAATTTATTTCCTAAAATTTAAATGTTTTTGCTTTTTTTTATTTATTGACAAAACAAAACAATAGTAATATTTTTAAAATTTAAAAACATAAACTAAATTTAAATAACATAATTTTACTTTTAAAATTAGGCATTTCTTTAAAACTAAATTCGATTTAACTTTCGGTTAACTTGTGCAGAAATGCTTACAGCTACAATTTTTCACAAAAACTGCAATTATTTGGTATATATTAGGTATTTAATATTAGGTAAATGTTATGTTATATTAGGTATTATACAATGTGTTTATAATTAAACTAGACTTACTCAAACACATCCGTAGATAGGCACTAAATTTGGTTAAAAATATATCAAGAAAGTTCATCCTAACAAAACATTTTATTTCAAAGAATCACCAATCAGAGTATTATAATGTGATTGGCTGAAACCAAAGGAAAGTTTTACTGTGACAAAGCTTAAAATATTAAAGTGATCTTCTGTACTAACTAAAATTAGCTAAACTATTTGTATTAATTTACAGCTTAATTATATATTATTTTATCTTAAAGTTTGTAAAGATGATTTCAAACTGTGCTGTGAGAATATTTTGCAAAAAATATTCACACCAATTTCTTAGAATTGCAGCGTAATTATAATTTATTGAAAGATACAAACTAAGTTTGTATCTATAAATGCTAATTCATTATTCATTTTCACAGTGTTGCTGCATGGTACAAAGTAAATCCATGATTATTTGAATTTCTTAAATTAAAAATTACCATGTTTAAAAAAATTCCCTAACGTAAACTTTTCACAAATTTCTAGAAAAAATGTTTAAAGAGGAGAAACTTTTATATTAATGTACTTTTTTTTATAAAAGCCATAGAAGGAAAACACTTGCAAAGATAAGAAATAAATTCTCTTGCTATTTATGATTTTGTTACACCCCTTACTTTGACATAATTTAAAAACGTGGTTTTTAACATTTTTATGTTACTAAAATGTGTGTATAGAAATAGTCAGCATGTTTCTTTCGAATGTGTAAAGCACAATACAATAGAGTACTGATTACGTGGACCAATTGGGATCAAAGCCGATCTGAATAATGAAAAATTCGAATAATTGGACATCTGTAAGGAACAGTTATGCGAATGTTTGTCAGTAACTTCCCTTCACACTTTTTCCAAACTTATGATTGACGATTCTAGTAGTGCTTGTTATGGCATATTACAGATGGTGTGTTTAAACGTTTTAATTTTAAAAAAAAATTTATTAGAAAACTGTTTCCTGATTTGCCACCCTTTATTGAAACTGGACGTAAAGGACGTGAGGCTCTATTTAAAGTGACCAAGGAACAAAAGAAGCCATTTTTTTACCTCTTTCAGAAAATGAGCATTCTAATTTATTTATTTATTGTTTTATTTATTTATTTATTATTATTATTTTTTGAAAAATGTAGGAAAAACATGTGGTTCTTAAACGATTCAGATAATTGGACAATCCAGTAAATTGCCGTTCAGATATTCTAGGCTCTTATTGTATATTGTGCTGAAATAAATCATTTTCTTAGTTTAAATGACTATTTAATGAGAATGATAAGAAAGGAAAATTTCAGAGTGTAAACAGAGAAAATTTCAGAGTATTCAGTACAGAGGAAAGTTAAAATTTATGTTTGATTACAGTATATAAGCATTTTGTGATTCAAAGAACTGCTAAAATACTTGTTTATTGAATGAAAAGAAAATTGTTTATTTTTTGGGTTTAATCAATGATGTGAAATATTCTAAAAATACTATGTTTGTTTAGTAGTAATAAATTTTTGTATTTATATCTTTTACCCCATCAAGAGTCTAAAATGAAGCCAGCTTACTCAGAATTGATTAGGATGTTAAGTCAATTATTAAGTGGTTCTATTGATTATGCTGAATTTGAAGAGGAGGCTCGATCACTTTTTGGAATTCATTGTTTTGTGAGCTTCACCATGGATAAGCTCATTAATTGCATTGTCAGACAAGTAACTATGATAAAATTATAATTTTATTTTAATTCCATTATGAATAGTGATGTGACATATGAGCTATAATTTCTTTTTAAAGAAGGAAATGTGTAGTTTTGTACTTCATTGTTCCTTCTAAATATTAATGAAACAATTGTTATATGTTTAAATGCGGACGTCTTAAAATAATGACTCTGTATTAAAGAATGTGGTTTTATTATTGATTTAGTTTGAATTATTTTTGATATATATATAAAATATACTTTAAATTGAAACCGTATGTATTTAAATATAACTAGCAACAAAATTTGTTATAAATTTGAACATTTAATTTAATAGGATCAAGCTATCTAAATAATTTGAAAAGTAAAGGAATCGTTCAGACTTCTGGAAAACCCACAAAGGATCGAAGAAATTTTAAATTTTCTGAAGAAAGAGATATAGGATTTTTTAGTGCAATTTGAAAAATGTATCCGGAAAAAAAATTGAAATTCATTACTCTTTCTTTCTTGCACAATTATTTTTATTTACTCTTCTACCTTCTAATAAAAGAAATGTTTCCAAATTAGGTGTGTAGTAAAGGAAAAAGTTATTTTGTCAAAATTGTTCCTTTACTGTGTATAGTGCACAAAAAAATAAACCACCCTGAATAACTCTCGATCTAATGATCGAATCTGCACGTTCTAGGACTCATTCTTAATGGTTTGAGTTAGGAGAGGTGACTGCAAATATGCTAATTAATCAGTGCAAACGATATTTTAAGTTAAGAAATCAGCCATAAAAAAGTGCTCTCTTTGTATAAACATACCTTTTAATTGGCAGTTTCTGATTTTTGATCCCTAAAATATAGAGGTAGACACAGTCTTGGAAATATAGTCCTAATAGTTTGCTCAAGAGAGCATTCCCAAAGCTTATACCACTTAATGTTTTAATTTTACTTTTTGTGTATTTCGCCATATTTCGAGAACTTTTAACGCAAATAGAAAAAATTTTTGCACTTTATTATAAAGGCCATCCAAGAATAATTTTATGCAAAAAATAACTTTTAGTAAATATTGATTATTTTTTCTTATTTTATCTATTAATAGTCAAACAATACTATTTTTTACATGATTTTATAGAATGTAAAAGTCAAAATAAAAAATTTTAGCAAAATCTATTAAATATTTCCTGATAAATCGAATTTTAAGCATATGACTTTTTTAACATTCATATATTTAAAAAGGTATTTTATATTTAAAACGATATGTTAAGCAACTCCCTTGAATAAATAGGATTGAGTGCTAGAAGGTGAAGAACCGATCATTAAATCAAAAATTATTCGGGTACATTGTGTATGCATTCAGAAAAAAGGATTATTTCTGAATTTTATGTTAGCAAATGCATGTAAAAAATGCAAGCATATTAAATAAAAGAGTAGAATAATAAAACTAGAATACTAAATACTGCATATAGAGAAAAAAAACATTTAAATTCATGTAAAAATGAAATAAAATGCTTAGTTTCGCCTTAGCTCATTGTATAATTTTCTTAATTTAAACTTTGTTAATTGATTTTACTCTGCTTAATATTTTACTGACTAGTACTTACAAATGAGCAATAACAGCATATTTTTGGGAATTGTTTTTCTACCTATGAACTCTAAATGTAATTTTTTTACTCTTCATTTCTTGTTTCTTTAGTTCTAAGTACTAATAGCATTTTTCAATATCTTTGCATTAATGCTGTTGTATGTCTTCTCATTATTTTTGAACCTTACTTTAAAAGTTCTGTAAAAAAAATTAATGTTTAGCTTCAATTGATCAGAAAAGTTTTCCTGTAATGTTATTTATGCAATTTCAGCTGCAGCTTGTGGTAAGTGACGAACTTTGTAAAGTGTGTACATCATTGTTCTTTACGCACATGAAAAACATATCTGAATCTCCTTACATATCACTGCTTGAACAATCTCACATGGGATCTGATTACTTAAAGAAAGTGGAAGCTGAATTATGTGACGAAAATTGTTTTCAAGTTGTATGGGTATGTGTTAGTACTTTTGATATTGATGTTTGACAAATGATATTTAAAAGTATTCTTAAAAATATTTAAAATGCATTGTTTTACTGCAGTTTTTATTATCTAGTTATTTTTGTTACATTCTATAACGGTTCATCTTGCTCCTCTTCTTATTAATTTATTAAAGAAGCTAATATCACCTTAGCTTTTTTTATGTCTCTTTAAAATTGACTTAGGGATTTCATTAAAATAATGCCATATGGCTGTCGAATTCAAATCAGTAGCTGTAAATAAGTGAAGAAAAACAGAAGAAAGAAAGAAAATACAGAAGCACAATAGATTTCTTTTTAATTTAAACTCAGTAGGGTAGAGGAAAGAGTTCCAATTAACGTCATTCAAATTTTCCAAAAATCGAAAATAAGAACTGATTAAAAAAATAATAAAATTACCTTAAAATCTTCTTAAATTTTAATGATGACCTACAAATTGTATATTTATAATAAATTTTATTAAATAGTGGAAAGATTGGAAATTTAACACATAATTTACTTGCGCATTAATCTTAATGGATTCACTTAAAATATTCCATAATAACGATTTCAGTTGATTCAATTTTACATTATTAACAAAATGTTCAATATCATCAATAGCACTAAATAAGTTATTTTTAAAGTTTGTTTGAGTTTCCACAAACTTTTTTAGATTATTAATCATTTTTATGGCTTCAGAAAGGACACCTATTGGATCATCTATGTTCTAACCTGGAATTTCATCATAATCAATTACGGAAGAAACTTCTTGCTATATTTTAAATAAATGTTGATCTAATTCCTTGGAAACCGAGAGATCTTTGGTTCAAAGATATCTTTAAAAATAAAATTTACTTAGCAGAAACAATTATCAATTATGCTGCAAATCACTTCTTTCCATGCTTTGCTAACCATTCTACTGGCATTTAGCAGATTAATACTAGTTTTTCTTCTTCTTTTGATTAAATAAGATTGTTGACAGTTGCATAGGGAAAAGAACTTAAGAAATTGGTTAAATGTTTTGATTTTTGCTTAGTTCAATTTCGAATTAACCAAATGGTTAAAATATATATATATATCATATTCTAAATATGTAGGAAATTTTAACATTAGTCCTAACCTCTTCCGTTACCAAATTTTTTCAAAAAAAGATGCAGAATATCAACATTTTTTTTTATTAATAAATGCAAGGAACTGAAACAAAACATAATACACAAGTTCTAAGTTGAAATTTAAAATTTTTTATGCGTAAAAAATATTTAATTTATCATCAGTTTATTATCCCAAACTATCACAGGCAAATGAAAAAAAGTTAAATATTAGTCTTTGTATATGTTCACATCTTCATAATCTAAACTATTATCTGCCTTACTTTCGCTCACAAGCGCCATTTTTTTACTTTTTTTTCTATGTAAATTCATCAAACATTATATATACAATTGTCCAAAACACTTCTTCAGTCCCACAAATAACAAAACTCCCAAACAAATGTTGGCAAACTTCCAGTCAAAGCAGATTATTATTATTTTTTGTTTTCCTTCTGGCCAAAAAAAAAATGTGATAAAACTAAAAGTATTGATGAATTCTGCTATGCCCGAGTTTACTCAGGATAATAAATATTTGCAAGATATACATACCCGGTTTAACTCGGTATAATAAATATTTGAGAGATATACATACCCGAGTTAACTCATGATAATGAATATTTGAGAGATATACATACCCGAGTTAACTCGGGATAATCAGGGAAGCGGTTAGAAACAAAGTTCAAGGGAATTAACACTACTTTGAATTACCCAATATTTTGAATTTTCTATGTTAGAATCAAAAAGAATCAACTGTAATGAAACTGAAAAAATTTATGTGCTAATTTCTTTAGTAAAATATCTTTACAAGACAGCCATTCCCTTTTAGAAAAAATATTTGTTCTTAAAATTACTTTGTAAAACCTCGTATTCTCAGGAAATTAATTATTCTTTATTCCATTTCAATGTTTATTTCACAGCAAATTAGAGGATAATTTTTCAAACCAAACTTTAAATCTCTTTGCTTTATTTTAAATAGTAAAAATTTGGCATTAATTATTCTTTATTCCATTTCAATATTTATTTCACAGCAAATTAGAGGATAATTTTTCAAACCAAACTTTAAATCTCTTTGCTTTATTTTAAGTAGTAAAAATTTGTCATTGATTAAAATGATACCATTTGTTGAAGCTTTAAGGATTTTTCAATAAATTTAACTATGATTTTTCAATGTAATAAGTTTTCATAAACAAAATTTTATGTTTCGAAATACAATGAATATGTTATGTTTAATTTACTTTTAAAATCAATTATTTAATTTAGCCTTGATATATTTGTTTTTAGCATAAGAAACACCTGACCCTCACCATTCAATTGATTGAAAAGGATGAATGTGATGAAAGCATTCCTGATCCTTGCGAGACAGAAAGATGGTCTCAATACCTTGAATCTTATGTTTCAGTTGACACTGTTTCAGAAGAAATATTAGCTGAGACTGCAGGGTTACCAGTATTTCTACCTAGGTAAAATCTTTTTTTTATATATATTTCGTTTATTTATTTTAACATAAAATTTCTCAAACTGTGTTTTGCTCTGAAGGGATAGGTACTTATTCAAGACTTTTTTAGGCTCTTATATAATATCAAATTATGCATAAAATATTGAAAAATAAATCTCATAAAATTTTTAAATTAATATTGAATTTTATTCTGGCATTTCAGAACATATTTAAATGCTTTATGCTTACTGTGAATTTTTTGTTTTGTTCATCAAATTATATATACTTTTATTAATTATCATTTTTATTATTATCTATTTCATTCTAAAATTTTTACTCGCGATTTGATATATATATGGTTTATTTGATATATATATGGTTATGGTTTATATATGGTTTATAAAATATTGTTGCTTGTTTTCTTGAAATAAATGTGTCTTAGCTTAAATATCAATAATGAAAAATATGTAATTATTCTGATCAAAAACCATAAAATTACAACAAAAAAAAGTTTTTTTTTTTAAATTTTTTATGAAAGAATGAGTTTGATTTTTAATGAAAAAAAAATTTTTTTTCATGCTCAACATTTTATTTTGTAACTCTTTTGGGTGAAATCCACAAAACAACTTCACCCTTAAAATACAACTTGCTTCCTTTTGCTCAAAATTTTTGTTTTCATAATAACTTAAACTTTTTTGAGCTTAACTTTTTTTAATTAGAAAAAAGTAATCAATGCATGTGAAGAAAACTAATTAATGCTCAATGATACACTATTTCTTGCTCATTATTAAAACTTCAGTTTCGTAACAAATGAAAAATAAACTTTGAACTCGTTTTATACAAACTGTTACACAGTATATGTTTTTTTTTTATGAAATTTTTAAAATTTTGCTAAGCAGGTTATTACTTTATATTCCTGAACTAAATATCTACCTAATTTGTGGTATAACAAAAAAAAAATATTATAAGTTTTATAAATTGTATTTTGCGGAAAAGATTTATTTGGCATATTTTACTTTGAAATTTATCTGAGAAAATCTCCTTTTTGCAGAAATCTTAAACGTCAGCAAGAATATTGGAAGAGGAAAGTGGACATTGTTGAAAGACTGTGGAAAACTCGGCACTCGTCTTCTTTCTTAAAGAAAAATCTTCCTTATTCCTTAAAGAGAAAAGCTGCCATCCTTGCAAAATCTTTACAGAATAAAATGAGGCGACTCTCTGACAAGCCTTTAGACGATGTCCAGGAATCTGAACCAATGGAAACAACAAATGAAATCATTGATGAACCTACATCAGAACTTGAAACAGATAAATCTAATGAGGGAAAGAAAGGAATCAATGAAGATAAAGATGAAGAAACCGACGTTGCTAAAAATAATGCAACGAATGAAGACAAAAATGAAAAAAGCAATCAAGACCAAAATGAAGTTAGAAATGAAGAAGCAAATGAAATTATTAATAAAGAAGTAAATGAAATTATAAATGAAGAAGCTAATGAAAATAAAAATGAAGAAGCTAATGAAGAGGAAAATAATTCCAAAGATCAAGTATTATTAGTTGATTTGAATAATGAACAAAAGCTTAAAGAAGAAGTTGTAAGTGAAAATAGCACTGTTGCCAATGATTATTTAGAATCTAAGAATAATCCCGAAGAAGAATGTGCACTTCCTGAAAATATTGAAATAAAACAAGAGCCAATAACTCCCCCACCTGATGTTGTTGAAGATGATGTAAACGCTCAGATTCACCTAGAAAGCGAACGAGCATCTCATATTCTAGAAGCTGCTCTAGAAACAATCAACGTTGAAGAAGTTGCTGAAGAAATCGTTGCTGAAGATTCTGACAAATCAGCGATGCAAAAAGATGAAGAAATGGATACCAGTAGTGAAATTAAAACAGATTCTGAAGTTAGGATCGAAGAACAACCTTCAAGGTCGAAAGAGCGGCGAGTGTCTGGGGGGACACCTAGGTCAAGAAGAAGACTTGCTAGCAGTTATATTAGAAGGAGAACAAAGAAAGCAAGAACTGCTCAATTGATGAGAGAGAAAAAGAAGCGACAAATGTTAGAGTCAGAGTTTGATGAAGTGCTCTTTGAGTATGCACATTTTTCTACCCTATCTGCTGAAGATAAATATAGATATTTGGCTCTGAAATCTGTAATAGTTGTTGATGAGACTGAGGTTTCTTTTGTAAAGGGGAGCTATAAAATGCAATTTCTTCACAATAAAGATTCGTTTCTCTATCGCAAGAATTCTTTGACCAAATCAAAGGAGGTAAGCTTAGCACTTTAGTCTTTTTCATTATATCAAGATCTGTTAATTTCTTGAGTTGAAATCAATTATCTTGTTTTAATTTTTAATTGTTTAATGCAACTATTCCCCACGTTAGCCACTTCTCTAGATTTCTACACTGTTTTCATTAAATAAAGCTCTTGCTACGACCATATTAATTAGCATATTAGCCTATTGGCACAGAATTTTTATTAGACATACTTTTCCTACTTTTTTTTCATTATTTTGTATTAATTTAGGTCAAAATAAGTAAAAAAAATTATTATATATAGCATTTTAATAATTTATGGTTATGAAATACAGCAGGTGTCTCTCTCTGCGTTAGAGGTAAAATTTTCCAAACTCGCCTCACTTCCAAGAAATAATTTTTTTAGAAATTTAATTAGAAATAATTTGCTGTTATTCAGTTTTAAGAGAAACAGTTATTCATCATTGAAATGTCTTTAAATTATAAAATCAATTATTGTTGAATATTTGAATATGAAAGGGGGAAATTTCAAACTGCTTTTTTTGGAAATTTTATTTTAGTACAATTATAATTCAGGTAATCAAACGGATTTTTTTTATTAACTATTAAACTGTTCTATATAATTAAAAAATGCCACAAAATATTTTTACTTGTAATTAGAGCATCAGAATAAAAATATATAAAATGGACACTGATGTCCCACCTGCTTCAAAGGGTTAGAATAAACAGCTACTATGTATTTGCAAGAAAGCTAATAACTGTTAGAGAGCATTATGCTTTTATAGCAACTAATTACTTAAGATATTAATTCAATTTCACAATTTTCATTTTAAAACAGAAAATAAATTTCTACTTTGGTGTGAATGCAGTATTAATATCAACGAGAATTTAATCTAAGCAGACACAATAAATGTTTAAAGCTCAACTTGGAATGACGAGCAAAATGGCTAGTTTCAAAATCTAAATGTCTATGTAATTCATAAATCTTAGTACCTAGTTTCTGATTCTTATTTGCATTATTCATATTTTTTGTAAAAAATCTAATAGTCATGATTTTGTAATGGCATCCCTTTGATTATTTATTTTTAGTTTTATTATAAAATTGCTATTCCAGACATAGGAAAATTTCTCAGGTTTAAAAATTATTTCTGATGATTTAATTAAGTTGTTGCTCAAAGATGTATTATTATGTCAATATGAATAATGTATTTGCAATAGAATGAGTTGACGCCTGGTGGCTGAGTGGTAGCGCTTTGCGCTGTTGTGCCACAGGTCCCTGGTTCGATCCTCGGGCCGGGCAAGGTTCACTCAACCTTTCATCCCTTCAGTGGTTCGATAAATGAGTACCAAGCATGCTTGGGAACTAAACACTGGGGGTTCCGCGCTCGGCTGACCACCTGACCGGAACATCTGCTTCTGCACCCCAGAGCCCAAGGTCAAGAAAACTGAGATGGGCACAGTAGGCCTTGGCCCTCTATGGGCTGTCGCGCCGCTGAGTTTAATAGAATGAGTTTATTAACTGCCATTGTTCCTTTTTGAATAGCTGTTTTTTAAAAGTATGAATTTAGTTTTTACCATTTCAAGTTAATTTCTTAAATGGGAGAACAAATTTTTACATTGCTGAAAATAAGTAAGAAGTAACATTGTCTCATTTTGAACTTTTGAAATATCTACAAATCTTGATACAGTTTCTCATTAAAATTTCCATTACTTGTAATCCTATTCTGAGTCTTTTTACATAGCTCTATATCCTTTCCCAGATTTTTTTTATTTTTTATTTTTACTTATTTACCTACAGCAAAAATGTTATCAGATGCAGACAAATGGTAACTTGCTTTCAGGAAATTAAAATAACTTCTGTAAAAATTATTTTCACTTAAAGTAAAAGAAAACCAGAGATCACTTGCTTATCAAGCTTTTCTGATGTCTGGGCTCATTTGTATACTTTTATTTATAAAACATTTACGAATCGAAATTTATGGGTTTCATAAATGTTTTAAAATAAACAATCTAATATTCTTCATGATAATTGTCATTTTAGTAACAGTAATTAGCTGACTTAAAATGAAAGAGGTATGATAAAGAGTAGCATATCAATGACGGTAATACTTTTTTAAATTTGTAATAGATTGAACATCAGTCATAAATTTTATGTCAACACAATGAAATTTGTTTTAGACATTGACAAATATCATGATTGATGATGATTAGATTGCATTTTAATATCTGAAACCATACCTTAAATTATACTAAATTACTTTATTTTATTTCCTTTTTTTTAACCAAAACAATAATATACATTGCGGAACAATTTATGTCTGAGCTTCATTACATTTTGTTAATATTTTTTTTAAAATTCTGTAGGCATTTATGTATAAGTTGGTATTAATTAATTAATGTTCCATTATTTAAGTTCACGTTATTCAATGTCCCTTTATTTATTTGCTAAATAAAGGTATGTGTCGTTTTAAAATAATAGTAATAATTTAGATAATGAGATTTGCTTGTTTATTTTTTAGTGATGCCCACAGATTATTTGTAAATATCAAATATCTTTGTTATTGAACATAAGATATAACTCTGTTCCTGGTCTAAGTTGTCCGGTAAACTATGACTTTAAATTAAGGAGATGTAAGAAATTTGCCAGTTAACAAAGATTTGCTTTTTTGCTTCTTGCCCTACCTCCTACATTCCTTTTTCCTAGTGAATTTGATTTTCGTTCCTCCAAATAAGGGATGTAACTGTAATTTGTAAAATATGGTTCAAATAGTTTACTCAAGGAACAGTTTAAAGTTTATACCCCTTTATTTTAATTTTGTTTTTGCATTTTTCATTAGATTTCTGAAATTATTTCAGAAAATCAAAATTTTTTTTGCAAAATTTAAAGAATTTTAGAACAATTTAAAATTCACTTTTTAAAAAATACTTCCATCTGAAAAAACTTTTTAGTAATTATTTATTTAGAAATTGGTTGAAGACATTTTAAATTGTAGTGTATTCAAATTTTTACACAGTTTTTAACTATATAATTTTAAATTACGAAATTTTTTTTTTTTCGAAGATATTAATTTGTCCAGGCAATTCTTTTCAGCATTGAATAGTTTGTAATTAAAGATTTGTTTTAAGGTATGCAAACTGTGAATTTTTCCCCTTGGAAAAATAAACTTTTAAAATATGTATTTAAAAGTTTATATATCCATATTATATCCATTATTAAGTCCATATTTTATTCAACTTAATTAACTTATCTTGCAAGTTTATCTATATATATATTTCTCTTACACGGCGACAAAAAAACAACTCCCCGAATGGCAATGCTAGAAAATCGACCAATGATTCCCGCTAAAAATGTCACATGCCAAATCTAGCTGAGGTGGCTCAACATAAAGCGCTTTTAAAAACGGAAACTGAAATAACAATTCAGCTGCGGCAATCTCATACTATTAAGCTAGGCAGAAGTGAGTAGTCTTTGTTGATAGATCTCTATTTTAGTATTGTCGAAAGCGCTTTTTTTCACGAATTTATATATTACGAATTTATTTGACGATTTTTTATTTATATCACAAATTTATTTGTTTTATTATTGTTATTAGTTATTCATTGAGAAATGAGTCTCAGTCAATGAGTCTTTATTTGAATTCAAATTTATTTTATTGACTTAGTTTTTACTAAAAAGATGTAATTTAAAAAAAAAAAAAAGTTTTTATATGGATTTGAATTATTGTTTTAAATTCTTGGAATTTTGTGCATTTGCAATGTACCTAAGTTAGTAGCGAACGAAGCAAGCTTGGTTTTCTAAGCAAACCATATAAGATTGCGTAGCAATTTTCGGGGGTTGGCGAGCGTTAGCGAGCAGGGGGTGCAACCCACTAGTTTAAACCTAATATGCATGTAATGGTGTGTAATTTCAATCTGTACTTTCTCAGCAAATCAATAATATTTCCAACGAAAAAACTTCCACAAAATATCTTTTTATTTCTAACTAAATTATACTTTCTTTTTCTAGATTCATCAACAAATTTCAGAAATAAAAACTTCAAATTTCAATGCTTGGCATAGGATTTGGGTGGATCGATATCTTACACCGGACATGGTTAAATCTTGTAATTCATGGTTTCTCAAAAGCGATCAAGATAAATACAAAGTTGTTTGCCTGACCATAAGTGACTGTAACAAAACTCCCTATATTCCTTATAATAAATATAAACTGAAGTATTACAAGGTTATCACAATTGACTGAGTAAAATTGTATTAATCAGTGGTTTCCAAAATTATAATTTGTACCAAATTTTTCCCCTACAATTACCAGTGACACAATCATAATATCATTTAGTAGATTGGAATAAATGAAATTCACAATATTCTGTCTTTTTTTTTAATACATAATAACAGGATAATGATATTTAATAATAAACCTTGTGGCTGAATTGTGGTTACATAGTTGCAGAACCTTCTAGAGTTATCTTAGAAAAATTTTCAATTTGAATTTTTTTTTTAAAGTTTAATGTTTACAGAAACAAAAGTTGAAACTTCATATAGAACAGGGGTTTCCAACTGGCGGGTATAAAATATATTAGTTCAAATAAAATATATCAGTTGTCATTTTTCTGCGGACAATTTTCGTAAAAATTCTATATGGGTTTAAAATACTTTTCTCGTTAATAAAAACCTAATTTCTTCGTTTCTGTAAAATTTAGCATACCAGCGGTGCAAAAAAATTTATTTTTCAGGTTTTCCATCCAAGAAAATAAAAATTTTCCATTCAAATACAAAAATAATCGTGTATGTTGCTTTTTTTTATTTCATTTTTTTTTGTTTTGTGAATATAATTTAGCACGTGCGTATCAAAAATTTTCTCGAAGAAATTCTCCAATTTAACTTCTTGAAACCACTCATTTTGGGCGAAAATATTTACACACACGTTTTTAAATTTAAAATGTAAATATCGATTCTCTGGTGGTTGCAGCAGACAAAGCTCAATTTTCTCATTGAATATTTTGTGTGCTGCTATGTAAGTTTTAATGCCTTAACAATTAGATATCTGTTGCACATTAATTGTTTAATACATAGGTGCACATTAAAGTTATTGTAGTCCGAATTTTTATTATTTATTTATGTCTTTAAAATTATTATTAATAGCAATTGAATATTTTTAAAAATCTACTTCTTATTTTAATTTGTAATTCAATACTTTTGTTTGTACAACTTGGTAAAACTCTCACAGTAATATTTATTGTTTCTTCAAACATAAGTCCTACAAAAACTTTTGATAAAGTTGCGGCCCCCCATTTGATTTGTGTTTTTAATTCTGGCCCCCGGCCTCATGTAAGTTGGAAACCCCTGATATAGAACATAGCACATATAGATACATTCTATTATAAGCGCTCCTTTTTTATAAGTTACAGATATATTTCTTATTATTATTAGTGCTATGGAGATTTGTCACAGAAAGCCAGAAAAAATTCTACCATAGGGATATTAAGCAAAATGTAAAAATAAAAGTATTTCAGATTCTATTTTCCTTATACAATGGTAGAAATTTTTAAAAAAAATTCGCTGGCCCAAAGGATTGGTAACTGAAAAGTATTACTGGTTTATACACATATTTACACTTTTGTGTTTGCATTTTTCCATTAGATTTTATTGAAAGGAAAAATAATAAATTAAATGCAAATGAAAATTATGATGCAGGTAAATGTGTACTGTCACAATTATCACTAAATATTCAATTTTGTGGCAAAATCGCAAAGTTTCATACAAATCAAAAGTACCAAAACAGCATACCATCCATATATATTGACTGATTATTATCACTCATATTTTTTTTATGATGGTCCAAATCAAATTTAGCGGTCTCGGACCTACAGACAGGGTATCTGCTACCTACACACCTGGAAAGTCATGAATTTTGGTATTGAACAAAATTTGTTATGATTTTAACTATTTAAAAAAAAAATCAAGGAAAGTCATGGATTTAGGTCGTCAAAATATCAAATTTTTAAAATGGTATTTACCCCCCCCCCCCNTTTCCCCCCCCCCCCATTTCATGTCTTCCAAGAAGCTGAATTTATATCAAAATCCCCACTCACAGTCATATTTTATTAAAATATGAATTGTTTTTTAAAAAATGAAAGAAAAAAACACCATTTCTAGAGCGAATTATCTTGTAAACCTCTGTGATTTCACAATTTTTATTACTATTTATTTTTCTTAATTTAACAATTTAAAATTCTAGCTGAAGCAAGCCAGTCATTGGTGAATTTTTTTTTATTCCGGAATGAGAACAGAAAAATCAGGAGTATTTTTTTCCTCTCGGATCAACAAGAAAAGCATCTTTAAAATATAATTTGGCAGAAAAAAAAGAAAAAAAAATTATTTGCTTTTGTATTTTTTTTCCAGCTTTATTATTGCTTCAATTTTACTCTGTTTTTTTAAATTTAAAATCTATAAATATGAAGATGCAGAGTATAACAGTTTTGATTATACCTATCATTTCAATTAATGTTATTATAATGCTTTTCTAAATTTATTGTTGTGTTTTTGTCAGAGAAAATAGTATGTTAAGTCATGAAAAATTCTTGGAATTAGTCATAAAAAGTTATGGATTTGAAAATCTAAAGTGTAGCAGATACTCTGTACAGATCTTGGAATTAGTCATAAAATGTTATGGATTTGAAAATATAAAATGTAACAGATAGCCTGTACAGATCTTGGAATTAGTCATTAAAAGTTATGGATTTGAAAATCTAAAATGTAGCAGATACCCTGTACAGATCTTGGAATTAGTCATAAAAAGTTATGGATTTGAAAAGCTAAAATGTAGCAGATACCCTGTACAGATCTTGTTAATTTTAAACCTTGATATATGTTTTAATATGGTAGCTTTAATTATTTTTATTTATTTATTTATTTTTTGGAAGGGGGCATTTTTATTTGAACATAAAATTCTCAAAGAATATTAAAGTAGCAAAATCTGAAACTCTCAAGGTAAATCACAATCAACTCTTGAAGTTTTTGGAGTGTGTGCTTTATAATGACCACACACAACTTTACTTCACAAGTGTTTCAATCTATTATTGAGCTCTTTTTATACAGTCAATTATTTCTTCTAAAAAGTTAAATCTTAGAGTATTATAATTTATTTTTCTTGTCATCAATTCTATTTGTATAAATATTCATAAGTAATATTTTTATTACGTTAACTTCTTACTTAGCAAGCATTTCTTTTCATTTAAATTGAAAATTTTTGATAGAATAATTAAAAATTGGAATTTTAAGAAAAATATCTGAATTAATATGTAAATATTTAATATAGATTAATATATGTATGCACATATTATACATAAATTTTTCTGTTGATATTAAAAATATGCTATTTTAAGTTGTAAAAGTTTTCAAATTATATTGTACAAATCTCAGAAAAATTTAGGTTTTTCTTGAGAGTGACTGCCATGTGTATCGACATATTCGATGGCATTTTTGTGGAATTGGAAAAAAATGGCTTTAGAATTTAAGAAACATCAAGAGGCTGTTAGCAAAATATTAAATTTTGTTTTATCTTCAAATTAATTATCTTTTTCATTGTTGTGCTTATTGCTTATTTTCCCTATACAGATCATTAGTAATCTCAAGTATTTGTAATTATAATTCAGCTTTATCAATTTTCAGAAGTTTTATGGCATAGACAAAAAAAAATTTGATTTAGGTATTTGAACTTGGTTGAAAGATGTTTTTTTTTTTTTTTTTTAAATTTTTTTTTATAAAGAAAAGCTGGGCATATAATTGTTTAAAAATAGTTTTTATTATTAAGATTACTTTATATGTGAGCTATAGTATTTTCCTCAAACTGTGTTTAACATGGCTGAATTTAAATAGCTCTAAAACCCATACAACTTAAAAAAATTACAACAAAAACATCAAAATTTTATGACTATTGTATATTTTCATATCCAAAGACCTTCTGCACTTTTGTGCATGTGCCAGGTCTGCTTCAGTTTCATCAAATTGAGGTGAGATAAAAGATAAGATAAAGATTTGTTAACTTTGCAGTGTGTCATGCCTCAGAGTCCCTGAAAAAGCACATCACACCTCTTGAAGTAGAATTGTTCCAGAGTCTTGCTTTTGAAAATGAAAAATCCTTTAAAATAAATATTAATAATATTTTCTGAAACTTTTTAGTATTTTTTTTTTCATTTTTATTTACAAAACCTTTTTTGTATGTATGCATGTTTTAAAAATGTAAAAAGAAAATATAATTTGAAAAATAAGTTAATAAAAATTTGAATTTAACAGGTTAGTTATTTTATATTAGAATTGCTCAACATGTAATTGCAAAGGGCTAGTAGAAAAACTTTAATAATTTAAAAGTTAACCCTGTATATCCCAATGTAGAAGTCAATTCCCTATTTTTGAATATGAGATAGCAAATTTGTGGTACGTCGGTTGTAGAAATAGACAGTTGAAAATACCAAATATTAAAATTAGAAAAAAAATTTATTAAATTTACAAAATTTTCTCAAGCTAAACATATTTCACATTGTTCTCTCTGGATAATCTCAAATTAAGATGCTATGAAGCACCCCTTAAATAAAGCAAAATAATTTTTTCTGAGCATAATTTAAAGAATCGTTTCTAAGAAACCTTTAGATCAAAAGAAAGTATGATGAAAAAAAAATGCAAAATTGACTGTGTGTATTATATTAAAAATAGTTTTTGAAAGGTTTAAACTGAAACAGGGTTATTCATATCTATCTCGTTGCTTATAATCACAATCAACAAATGTCCAACCTTACAACTGGCGTATAAGTCGACCCCCTGTTTGACTTAACATTTTAATAGTTTGAAAAGTTGACTGGAATATACAGCTGTAATGTTTTATGAAAGTTTATATTAAAAAATATTTAAAATTTTTTGTATTTATACATTTTTAAAGAGTTTAAATTTTTTTTTTTAAAAAAACTAAAAATTTGAATTTAACAAGATGCTGGAGCAGATTAGAATGGTTCTGTAATCATCAAGTGTCAACATTGAGAGAGCAAAAAAAAATTCCTTAGTTAAATAAATTGGTTTTAGTTCGTTTTATCCCCTTAACAATCGGTTAATTTTCAAGAAAATGGTCATAAAAGTAAAAAGTGTCTATTTTGCCAAATACACTTATTTGATTAGTGCTAGTATCTAGTTTAAAATAAACTAACTACAGTAGGGAACCGATTATCCGGAACGATCGGGACCATCGCTATTCCGGATAACTGATTTTTTCGGTTTTCTGAATCGCTACAAAAAGCCGTTTTTTTTATTGTTAAACCAAACTAAAAAAAATAAATATTTGGAAATAATCTTAAAAAGAAGAAAAAACTATGAA